CCTTCCGAGGTGGGTAAAATGAGGACCCGGATTGTTGGGGGAGTAATATGCTGACTCTGTAAACCGCTTAGAGAGGGCTGTAAAACACTGTGAATAAGTCTAAGTGCTATTTTCCTTCCTTCCTTCCTTCCTTCCTTCCTTCCTTCCTTCCTTCCTTCCTTCCTTCCTCCCTCCCTCCCTCCCTCCCTCCCTTCCTTTCTGTTAGAATACAGTATTGCAGACTAACTCTGCCCACAGCCAGCAGTTCGATCCTGACCGGCTCAAGGTTGACTCAGCCTTCCATCCTTCCGAGGTCGGTAAAATGAGGTGACCCAGATTGTAGGGTGCAAGAGGCTGACTCTGTAAACTGCTTAGAGAGGGCTGGAAAGGCACTGTAAAGCGGTATATAAGTCTATTTAAAAAATCGGGCCAAACAGGTAGTCCTTGCTTTATGACCACACTTGAGTCAGTCCAGCATTTGTTACTAAGTGAGAGAGGGCTTATAGTGAATTTTGTCCTGTTACGATCTTTCTTGCCGCAGCCTTTAAAGGAATTCCTGCTTTTGTTAAATTAGCAACGTTAGTTGTTAAATAAATCTGGTTTCCCTGTTCCCCGTTGACTTGGGGGTCGCCTGACCCTGGGACAGACACTGCGACAACTGTCATAAATCCATGCCAGTTGCCAAGCCTCCGGATTTGGATCACATGACCAAAAAGGGACCCTAAGTCTCTTTTTCAAGTGCGGTTGTAACTTAGAACGGTCACGAGGCGAATGGTCGCAAGTTGGAAGACGACCTGCAGGTTGGAGATCCAGACAAGCTGACCGACAGCTGGCTTGGAATTCTGGGAACCGAAGTCCCAAACTTCTGGACTCCTTTCAGAGGACAGGAAGGTGGTTTATAGTGCAAAATGGTTTCTACCCCTTCCTTCCTTGAGAGAAATGCCACCTCCACCATGGCGCTTTGGGAAAGATGGCTCTGTGTTTTTCAGCCGTCAGCTGCTGAATCACGATCTCTTTGGTGGGTAGGTGATCCGGACTGGCATAAAGGGAAGGAAGAAGCAGGAATTTGTTGTGGCCCGTCAGCGAATTCGGACAGTGAGGAGGTTGGGGAGGAACATGGGCCAGTCCTGGAGTCTGGGGAAGGCTCTGATGAGGGCTCTGCGTTGGAGGCAGAGAGGGGGCCAGGGCCGTCTGACAGTTATCAGCTACCTTCGGAGTCAGACATCAGTGAGGCAGAAGAACAGCTGGAGCCTGTTCCCAGTGTGCGCATGCACAGAGTTGCCAGACAAAGGGAACAGCTAAAGAACAAGGGGCGACTCAGGAGTAAAGCCACAGGTGGACGGTGAATGGCCCCTCCCAGAGGGAATAAAAGAGGAGCGAAAGGGGAGTGGAGTTTGCAGGAGACAATTAATTGGTTCGTGACTCTCCAAGACTCCTTGACTCCTTTTGAAGATATCGGCCTGGCAGCTCCCCAAGCCAGATAAGGTCTGTGACTGTAAATTCACCCTTGAAAGACTTTGCTGGATGTGAATGAGAGGAATTAATAAAATAACTTAATAAAAAGGGGTTTTTGTAGGGACAAGGAATCTGCTTCATGCTCTTGGGAAGCCTAGGTCAGAACAGAATTGGGGAAGGTAGCCGTATTTGTTTATTTTATTAAATATACTGTTTCCCCAAAAATATGATCTACCCTGAAAGTAAGTCCTAGCTTGATTTTTACATATGCGCTCAATATAAGCCCTACCCCCAAAATTTATTTATTTTATTTTATTTCTGTACCGCCCTTCTGCGGGACTCAGGGCGGTGTACAGCCAAGATAAAACATTGCATAAATAAATAAATAAATAAAATAAAATAAATACCCCCAAAATAAGTGCAAGAGGTAGGGCAAGGCGCATGGGTAAAAATGAAGCTAGGGTGGGGATGGGGGGTTGGAGCTCCCCTACTTACTGGGTCTTGCACACTCTGACACTGTCTCGACTTGCAGTCCTATTGTGGCCACTTGCCGTCGTTTGCGCGCGTCGCCCCTGGTCTCTGTTTTGCCGTCATGCCTTCCGGAAGGCCCTCTGCAGCCAAGAAACGGGCTCCGGATGGACATGACGGCGCCTCCCCAGCCTCCGTTTCGTGGTCAGAGGCCTTACAGAAAACCCTCGGTAGCCGATAACAGAGCTCTGGATCGATTCGGAAGAAGTGGGCCGGCAGTGGGCTCCTGCTGGGCGGGGCTGTCGGTGCCGCTGCCCCGAGGTAAGTCAGTAATTAGACCCTCCGAAAATAAGACCTAGTGTCTTTTTTGGTGGCAAAAATAAATAAAAGAATTTTAATCCTCACTGTTTTTGCATCCTGTATCCATCCTCGCCCTTCCCAAATCCATTATGAGCCACCATGGCGCAGTGGTTAGACTGTGGTACTGCAGGCTACTTCTGCTGACTGCCGGCTGCCTGCAATTTGGCAGTTCGGATCTCACTAGGCTCAAGGCTGACTCAGCCTTCCGTCCTTCCGAGATGGGCTTTTCTGCCTCATTCTTCTAAATCTAATGGTGTTGTTTTTTAGCTAACTTTGCATTGATGGTGCAACTCTTCCCAATGTCCCTTTTATTATTTGATTTTCCTTTTAAGTTTTATATTATTTGGATGCTTCTTCCCATGATTCGGAAACGATCGGCACATGATCCCTCTCCGAAAAGAGGACGCAACGGGAAGACAGACATTGTGTCATCTGCTAGAGGACTAGGCCGTGAAAAACAGGATGTAAACAAACCAGGTAAAAGGCTCCAGACAATCTAATAAACCTGGTTACATGAATGGATGGCTTTCATTTCTGTCTTTTGGCCTTACTCTGTTTGGAAAACACAACCCATACATAGAACATTAACAGAATAACACTTGGAAGGGACCTTGTAGGTCATCTAGTCCAACCCCCCGCCCAAGCAGGAGACTCTACACCATTTCTGACCGATGGCAGTCCAGTTTCTTCTTGAAAGCTTCCAGGGATGAAGCTCCCACAACTTCTGAGGCAACTTCTGTTCTTTACAGATTAACAGAGTTGGAAGGGACCTTGTAGGTCATCTAGTCCCGTGATGGCGAACGTTTGGCACGTGTGCCACAAGTGGCACAAGGAGCCATGTCGCCTGGCACGCCAGCTCAGCTCCGGTGCGCGTGCGTCGGTGTCTCTGGAGGGCTGGGAACAGCAAAAAAGTCACTTCCTTTCTAACCAGAAGTTGGGAAACGGGCCGAGGGGGTGGGGAAGACTGTTTTCGCCCTCCCCAGATGCAGAGAGAGGATCTGGAGCCAGGTGAGAAAGAAAAGCGGGCCTACCGGGCCACTGTGTGCTAGGAGTGGGGGGAAGGGGGGTCACATGCGCAGGGCGAGGTGCATAGAATTATGGGTGTGGGCACACATGTACGCGAACTTCCCCCGTCCCCCCCCCTTCTTGGCACACGATGGTAAAAAGGTTAGTCATCACTGATCTAGTCCAACCTCCTGCTCAAGCAGGAGATTCTACACCGTTTCTGACAAATGGCCAGTCTCTTCTTGAAAGCTTGATAATACGATTAAATATGGGTATGATGAGGTTCTTGCAATTGCACAAACCCACAATTCATATTAACCAGGTTACTTGTGTTGTGTGGATACAACCAGTGAATGTAAGAACACCTCGGTTCATCAGGAAGATACTCGCTCCCAGGCTCTTCCTGGCAAGACATTTTCCAAAATTAAAAAAAAACTGCATTTGTTGCTGTTAGATTGACAGATTATGGCTTAACATTTTTTTTAACACATTTTTAATTTTTAATTGGTTTGTTATCTTAAATTGGGGCCAAATTAATATATATCCTTTTGTTTTTTTTAATGTTTGTATTGTATGTTTTTATCTGGCCGTACACCGCCCTGAGTCCCTCGAGAGAAGGTGCGGTATATAAATTCGAAATAAAATAAACAAATAAATAAAATGAGCCTTGGTGGCGCAGTGGTTAAAGTGCGGTACTGCAGGCTATTTCTGCTGACTGCCAGCTGCCTGCATTTTGGCAGTTTGAATCTCATCAGGCTCAAGGTTGACTCAGACTTCTGTCCTTCTGAGGTGGGTAAAATGAGGACCCAGATTGTTGGGGGGCAAGAGGCTGACTTTGTAAACCACTTAGAGAAGACTGTAAAAGCACTATGAAGTGGTATATAAGTCTAAGTGCCAAATGTGAAGGGGAGGGAGGAAGGAGAGAAGAGCTATGGTGGTGCAGTGGTTAGAATGCAGTATTGCTGACTCTGCCCACTGCCAGCAGTTCAATCCTGACTGGTTCCAGGTTGACTCAGCCTTCCGTCCTTCCGAGGTGGGTAAAATGAGGACCCAGATAGTTGGAGGCGAGAGGCTGACTCTGTAAACTGCTTAGAGAGGGCTGTAAAGGACTGTAAAGTGGTATATAAGTCTAAGTGCTATTGCTGTTAACAGAATTGGAAGGGACCTTGTAGGTCATCTAGTCCAACCCCCCGCCCAAGCAGGAGGCCCTACACCATTTCTGACAGAGGGCAGCCCAGTCTCTTCTTGAAAGCCTCTTAAGGATGAAGCTCCCACAACTTCTGAATGCAACTTTTGTTCCATGGGTTGATTGTTCTCTGTCAGGAAATTTCTCCTTATTTCTAGGTTGAATCTCTCCTTGTTCAGTTTCCATCCATTCTTCCTTGTCTGGCCTTTGGGTGCTTTGGAGAATAGCTGGACCCCCTTCCTCCTCTCTGGGGCAGCCCCTCAAATATTGGAAGATGCTCTCCTGTCTCCCCTGGTCCTTCTCTTCACTGGACTAGACATAACTCAGTTCCTGCAACCGTTCATCGTCTGTTTGAGCCTCCAGTCCCCTCATCATCCTGGTTGCTCTTCTCTGCACTCTTTCTAGAGTCTCCACATCTTTTTTACAGTGTGTTTAGGTTTCAGCCTACCCTAATAAGATCATTTTGCATTTTATTTCTTATCTTCTAGGGCATTTGTTATCTCGCCTAATTTTCTGACTTTTGCGGATTTGATACAGATTCTCTCCGTCTCTTCCTCCAAATCTTTAATGGAAATATTGTTGGAGCAATATTCCAGTGGTAAACCGCTTAACACCTTAACTGTTTTGATGAAAAGTCATTTAAAGAACATCTTTTTACAGCAAGAATTAATTAAGTAGAGGCAATTAACTCCCCCCACACAGGTAATCCTTGACTTATGACCACAACGGAGCCCAACATTTCTGTTGCTAAGTGAGACAGTTGTTCAGTGAGTTTTGCAACCTTTCTTGCCACAGTTGTTAAGTGAATCAATGCAATTAAGTTAGTGACACGGTTGTTAAGTGAATCCGGCATCTCCCTTGGTTTTGCTTGCCAGAAGGTCGCAAAGGGGGAATCATGAGACCCCCAGGACACTGCAATCGTCATAAATACAAGTCAGTTGCCTGAATTTTGAATTTGTGGCAACTTTACGATTGGTGAATTTCAACTCCCAGAATTCCCCAGCTAGCCAGAGGAATGCTGGGAGTTGAAGTCTGCACAACTTATCGAGTTTGAAAAAACACTGTTCTAGAACAGGATTCTCCAAAGTTGGCAACTTTAAGACTTGTGGACTTCAATTCCCAGCATTCCCCAGCCGGTGTGACTGACTGGGGAATTCTGGGAGTTGAAGTCCACCTTCTTAAAGTTGCCAAGGTTAAGAAACACTTCATTAAGCATTATTAAGCTTTATTGAAAATAGTTTGAGGATTATACTGAAAAAATTGGGTGGCTCTGAGTAGCCACCTTCTCCATCCAAGTTCCCTCAAATATGCTGAGTCTGCAACTTTCAGAATCCTCACACCACCATGGAGTTGTGTGAATCCGATACAACAGGTGCAAGGAAATATTATGCAGTAGTGGCCAAAACTGTGGAAACCTTTTGGGAAAAGTGTATTTTCTAAAACTAGCTAATTACACCACTTTTTTTTGTAGTACCATAAAATTATATATCAATGGAAAGATAATTTAATCAAGAATGTAATGCAATAACTTTTATGAAGGATTTGCTATCAGAATAGCAGTTACGGTATAAAGAAGAAAAGTGAAACACGTAGAAAAAAGGAGATATACAAAAACGATCACCATAGAAAAAAATGAGATATAGAGAAATTATCACTATGTCAGTTAATACTTTGTTGGATAACTTTTAGCATGAATGACGGCCTTACAATGTCTTCCCATGGAGGGAACCAAGTCTTTGAGTTCTGCAGCTGTTCTCATGTGAAACCAAGATTGAATGATGGCTTCTATTAACTGGGTTTTATTGCTGCGTCGCTTCTGACTAACCAGTATTTTTAGTCGGCTCCATAGATTTTCAATGGGGTGAAGGTCTGGGCTATTCCCAGGCCATTCCAGCAGTGGAATAGGATTATCTTTTGAAACTCCAAAAAAAGTGGTGTTATTAGCCATCAAACCTCAAAAACGCACTTTTCCCAAAAGGTTTCCACAATTTTGGCCACTACTGTAATTTATCCCAACACTGTTTAGCAATGGGAGTTCCAGTCATAATTTGTGGTTGTAAGTCCAGGACTATCTGTAGATTAAAAAGTATGAAAACGACCCAAGGAATCTTATTAAAAATGTAATTAATTAATAAATTAAATTAATTAATTAAAATTTTATTAGCATAAAATTTGGTAACAGGCACACCTGGGTTGTTAAGACCACAAATGAACTGGAGAAGCTGGATTTGCACCATCTGTGAAGCTGTAAAGAAAAATAATTCCACATAAAATTAACCGAATTTAGCGCATTACACAAACGAAGCAAGAGATTTAGTGCTTGTCTGAGCTTATACAGGTAGTTCTCGACTTACAACAGTCCATATTTAATGACCGTTTGAAGTTACAACGGCACTGAAAAAAGTGACTTATGACCAGTTTTCACACTTACGCCCGTATCCCCGTGGTCACATGATCAAAATAAAGACACTTGGCAACTGGCATGTACTTATGACGGTTGCCATGTCCCGGGGGGTCACGGGACTTTCTGACAAGCAAAGTCAAGGGGGAAATCAGATTACTAACTTACCATTTTACCATTCGCTTAACGACTGTGGCAAGAAAAGTCGTAAAATGGGGCATAAAAACTCACTTAGCAACTGCCTTGCTTAGCAACAGAAATGCTGAGCTCCATTGTGGTCATAAGTTGAGGACTACCTGTAACCGGTATTTCTTAGAGTAATCATTAATTGCCATTCATTAATCATTCATTCATTCAAATTGAAGAGAAATTTGGTCCCAATCACCATTGAATTGTAAACTTTCCCTCCACGTCCGATCTTTGATTTGAAATTCCGAGGATTATCATCCTGAATTCCACTTTTTTTGGCCCAAACACGGGGAGAACCAAGCATAATGTAATCCTCAAAGAGATAAAACAGCTTGGAATTTGGGCAGGGGGTGTCCCAACACACTTGGGGGAGGCAACCGAACAGTCGTGAGCGCTGCATGCATGCAGAAAAAGGAGCCGTTTAAAGGTAAGTAAAACAGCGAGGGGGGATGGAACAGCTGTGCCGCCCGATTTAAATCTGCTAGAAAGCAGAATTTCCTGCTTTCTAGGGAATAAAAATCATGTGGCACAGCTGATCGTCGGAAATGCCCATTTGGACAAACCGGTAAGGGTTTTTTTTTTTGCTACCGGTTCGTGCGAACTGGTGCGAACCGGTAGTATTTCACCCCTGCAACTGAGTCGCTTTAAACCATAAGACGGGCAGCAAAGAAATTTAACAATCAAATAAATAGCCTGGATAGCTCTGCAGACAAGGCACTGCAATTTAACACCAGCTGTCTGCAATTAAAGTAAGTTCGAATCTTGCCAGGCTTAAGGTCGACTCAGCCTTCCATCCTTTCTAAGGTAGGTAAATTGAGGACCCAGTTTGTGGGGGCAATAAGCTGACTTTGTATAAAAAAAAATATACAAAAGTATGAAGGCTATTGCTTAACGCACTGTAAGCCACCCTGAGTCTCCGGAGAAGGGCGGCATATAAATCAAATTTAAAAAAAAAAATACATAAATGAATTGGAAAAGTAAACATAAAGGCTGGAAGCGTTCCGGGTGAAAATACGCAGAATTATTTCTCTCCCTGGACCAAACATTTCAGACCTCTTTATTCTCTTGCCTTCCGTTTTTTGGGGGAGGGGGGGTATTCCGTTTTTGGGGGAAGATATTTCTGCTCAATGATCTCAGAATATTTTCATCATTGAGAGAGAGAGAATATTTTCTCTCTCTCTCTCTCTCTGGGATTGTGTCGCTCTGGACGTCCACAGCAAGTACTGGACAATCGACACAGATTCGCAGCCAGCTCAAGAAACGAAGGCACTTCTAAAGAGGAGTTGCAAAATAATAATAATAATAATAATAATAAATTCCTTCTCTAGATGTTTGGCTCTGCATTCACACAACCCGCTAACCTTGTTCCCCTGCTTGGATAAAGCCGGCCTGCTTGAAGTTTTTAACACGCAGGGACTTTGGCAAAACCTCTGAAGTGGAATCAACTGAAACGAGAAATTCCACATTCAGACAACTGTGTAAACCGAAGCCCTTTCGGACAACCTCGACTCCCCCTCACCCCTCCCTGAAGGGCAGAGAAAGTCCCCAAGGTTATTTTTCGCCCAGGTTTAACGTTCAGAATCTGGGATTGAGGGCGGAGGAGGATTGGAAAAGGCCCAAATGCAGAACGGCAGGAAATAAATACAAGCGACTCGCGGCGGAATTGGGAAGTCACAGTTCCAGATGCTTCAAATGTTGCTGGAAGATTTCTTCGGCCCTCTGGAGGTATTCCGCCGTCTTCTTCTTCACCGCTTCCCTGCGGGCTGGATTGGTATCGCCTGCGAACGGGAAGACATATTGGATGTCTTTTTGGTGGCTCTCACTTGGACCCCAGAATCATCATCATCATCATCTTTTAACAACCCCATAATTCCTCGCAGGGTGGAGTCTGGGCAACTAAATGGAGCTGAGTATTTTACTGGACAGATGCCCTTCCTGTCGCCAGTACGGAGTTATATTCAGCAGATAAATTCTCATTGTGTCCAGAGAGAGAAATATCTGCCTCTACCTAGGATCGAACTCACAGCCTCCTGATTGTGAGGCGAGAGCTCCCTCTCTAGGCCACCCCACCACTTACTTGGACCCTGGAATCCGGGCAGCAAAAAAGCCCCCAAAATGTCAAACAGCAGCTCGAAGCATTTAGCAGAGTACAGGTAGTCCTCGGCTTACAACCACCATTGAGTCCAAAATGTAGGTTGTTAAATGAGACATCTGTTAAGTGAGTTTTGCCCCTTTTTTTACGACTTTCCTTGCCACCTTTTGTCAAGCGAATCGTTGCAGCCGTTTAAATTAGGAACACGGTCGTAACCGGTTTGTTAAGTGAATCCGGCCTCCCCATCGACTTTGCTTGTCAGACGGTCGCAAAAAGAGATCACGTGACCCCCTGGGACACAGCAACCGTCATAAATGTGAGTCGGCTGTCGGGCATCCAAATGTAAATCACGTGACAACTGTGGGGATGTTACAACAGTCTTCCTTCATGTGAAAAATGGTGCCATTTTTAGTGTCGTTGTAACTTCGGTCACTAAATGAACTGTTGTAAGTCGAGGACTACCTGTTACAGGTGACCAGCTTCGAAGAACTGCCCTCTCCTGGCCTAGCATCAATGGCCGCTTTCACACCACACTCTCAAACCAAGATTGGTAAAAGACAGAGCAGCTACACTTTCACAACCTAATAAACCTGGTTAAGTGTTGACCTTAGTTAATGATATTTTTTCCTTAGGTTTGCCTATTGCACCAACTCAGCCTGTTGGTTCAGTATCCATATTCACACATCACGCTGTTGTGGCCTGTCAGCGGCCTGTGCAGTTAGTAGCTGATTCCGACAGCGAGGAGGCTGGTGTGGTGCTGCGCCAGCAGCCTGTGCAGCTGGCGCTCAAGTCGGACAGTGAGGAGGCTGGAGAAGAGGTGGTGCCAGAGGCGGGGACTCAGCCAGGGCCTTCAGAACCTCCAGAAGCTCCCATAAGTGAAGAGGACGAAGAGGAGGAGCCTCTTCTCGATGCACAGGCGCACAGAGTTGCCAAAAGGCAGGAGTGGCTCCTCAGGAGGAGGTCTCCTCGAGAGTAAGGCTTGGGGCTAATTGGCCACTCCCTTAGCCCATTTAAGGAGGAACACCGACTGAAGCAATTTGCAGGGAACAACTTTGTTCACATACCTTCGTGTCTTGCTTATCTTATCAGCTTCCTGCAAATTGCTTCTGGGCATTCTGCCAACCACAGTACGCTTTCAGTATTATTCTTTGAATTCTTGGCGGCTGTTAATGCAGTTAATTAATAGCTGTTGTTGTAAACAACTGGTTTATTTAGTAAACTAAAGTTTAAAAGGACTTTGTGTGTGCTGCCTTCTTTGGGGTCCATAGCTGGGGCAGAACATCACACTCAGACCGGGATTGCTACAAGACGGAGCAGCCAAGAACGGTTGCTACCTGGATTAAACTTTGGTTCCAGTTGGGCTCAGCGCTTCTCCAGGGACCAAACTTCTCTCCAGATTGGAAAAAAATCCCAGAAGCCAAAGAGACCCACCTACTCAACTCAACGTACCTTGCAGACCCTGAAGGAGCAAGTCAACTCCGCTACGGTAGCCGCGAAAAGCCCCCTGGTAGTCCTTGGACGCTTCGCACAACACAGCTTGCCGGATCCTCTCCGTCGCTTGGGGCAGATACCTGCCGGGATCCAACGTGGTATCTTCTGCCTCGAGATTCTGCGTCGTGTCCGCGCTGAGCAGGAGTTCCGGTTTGGTCCCTGAGGCCTCCAGAGAAGCCAGACCTTCTCCGTGGGAGAGACCGGTGGCAGTAGAAGCTGGATCAGAAGGAAAAGAACGGATGGGAAGATGCTCAACTGGCTAGAGAAGGAGATGGCCAGAAGATCAACAAAGATGGTGAATGATCTGGAGGCTAAATTAAATGAGGAACGGTTGAGGGAACGAGGTATGTCTAGTCCAGGGGCCTCCAAACTTGGCAACTTTTAAGACTTGTGGTCTTCAGCTCCCAGAATTCCCCAGCTAGGATGGGGAGTGTCAACTCGCAAAGCATCCCTGGCCTCTTCGGGGGGTATGGAAAACTGGTGAAATGTCACAGCAGCCAAAGACAGATGCACATACCATGCTTATCTCTCTCAAGGCTGTATCCCAGGGTTACCTACAGCAACCGAGGGGAGTGACCTCTACAAACCTCGAAATTGCTCTGTTGGCGAATGAGATTGATGACACGCCCTGTGGGGAGGGGGGAAACAGGGTCATAATTGGAGCGTAAATTATGTAGGGTCAGAGCTGGCTTGCTATTGTGAGTCTCCAGCCAAGCTTCAAAAGAAATCCAGTTATTAGGAGCTTCATGTCGGCACATTCCCAAGTGCCTCCTTTAACGACTCTCATTCCATAACTAATTCAGGGTAGAGTCGGGGTGGCTGGATGGAGCTGAGCGTTGTGGTGGCCTAGCGGTGAAGCTAATCGCCTCCCGTTCGGAAGGTTGAGAGTTCAATCCTAGGTAGCGGCAGATGTTTCTCTCTCCCCGGGCGCAGTCCAATTTTGGGAGTTGAAGTCCACAAGTCTTAAAAGTTACCATGTTTGGAGACCCTGCTGGTTAGTCTAACAAAGAGACAATTGGAGGGGGGGACGGGACATGATGGACATGTCTTCCAATTCTTGAGGGGCTGTCACAGAAAAGAGGGGATTGACTTAATCTCCAAACCACCTGAGGCCAGGACAAAATTAACGGATGGAAACTTATCACGGCAAGGTCCAACCTAGAACTAAAGGGAAATTTCCCGACAGTGAGAACAATTAACCAGTGGAACAGCTTGCCACAGGGGTAAAATGCACTTATCTTTCCTACCGGCTCGCTACCCGCACGCTGTCATCAACACATGCGCTCGCTTCACTCACGCGTGTGCCATTGTCTGCGCATACGCAAAGCCTTTTGCACATGCTCAGAGGGTCAAAACCGGGAGATGATGACGTCCTGGTTTTTTTGGGGGGGGGTTGGAGCCTCCTCCCGCCGCCGCTACCGGCTCGCCGAACCACCTGCCGCCAGCGCTACCGACTTGCACGAACCGGATAGAACCAGCTGCATTTCACCACTGGTGCTCCATCACTGGAGGCTTTCAAAAATAGATGGGACAATCGTTTGGCTAGGATGGTGTAAGGTTTTTCCTGCCTTGGAGGTTGGGCTAGAAGACCTCTGAGGTCCCTTCCACACCTGGGATTCTATGTTCCATGGGGAGATTCCCCCCCTTATCCATGTCTTGGCTCACAGACCACCATGCCTGCACATGGAGACGTACTGTTGGTGGATCTTCATCTACCTACCTACTGTTCTCACCTAGGCTTCCTTAGAAAGTATACAGCACAGTCTTCGTCCCGGCAAGCCTCTTTAATTCAGACGGCTGTGAATTATTGTCATTCCCAGTCCGACAGGCTTCTCAAAACAGTCTTTCAGGGGAATGTTTATAAACACCCACCTCATCTCCCTTGGAATGCTGCCAGAAAACTAATTGCCAAATGCAGGACAAAGCCAAACTTAGCACAGAGTCAAACAGAGCTTTTACCGATCAGATGAACTCATTGCTTCCTGCAAAAGCTCACGTCCCGTTCGCTCCTCTTTTATGTCTTGTGGGAGGGGCCAATCATCTCCAAGCCTTACTCCCGAGTCGACCCTGTTTTCTTAATTGTTCCTGTCTTCTGGCAGCTCTGCGCATGTGCACATTGGGAACAGGCTCCCGCTGTTCTTCTGCCTCGCTGATGTCAGACTCCGGAGGCAGCAAAGAACTACCAGATGGCCTTGGCCCCCTCTCTGCCTCCGACGCAGAGCCCTCATCCGAGCCTTCCCCAGATTCCAGGACTGGCCCACGTTCCTCCCCAACCTCCTCATTGTCTGACTCTGCTGCCAGCTCTGCTGGCCGCTGGTGGGCCACAACACCTACCATTTTTGGAGAAGGGGTCAAAGAGGGCTAATTCTTGGACCGATAAGAGGCAGTGAGAAGGCGAGTCGTTCTTGGCTTCTTCCTCCTCGTCTTCCTCCCGGAAGGCAAAGAGGGCATCCAGATCTTCCTCTTGTTCCACAGCGTCCGAGGCCCCCTCTGTGGTAGAAGCACCAGTCAGTAGAAGCAACAGCAGCACAACCTTCTAGTAAACTCCTCATCTACTAGGGAGATTACGGAACTGTAAGATTAGGTCCCCAAATGGCTGCAGGCGTGCGATTCATCAGACCGAAATGTCGGCAGCTTTAAGATGGGTGGACTTCCAACTCCCAGAATTCACCAGGCAGGAAGAAGGCAGAAAAAAGAAAAAGGAAGGGGAAGGAAAGCAGAGAAGGAAGGAGAAAAAGAATGAAGGGAGAGCAGGAAGGAAGGAAGGGAGGGGAAGGAAGGAAGGGAGGGGAAGGAAGGAAGGAAGGAGAAGGAAAGGAGAGAAGGAAGGCAGAAAAAAGGAAAGGAAGGGAGAGAGAAGGAAGGAAAGGGAAGGAAAGGAGAAAGGAAGGAAAAGAATGAAGGGAGAGCAGGAAGGAAGGAAGGGAGGGGAAGGAAGGAGAAGGAAAGGAGAGAAGGAAGGCAGAAAAAAGGAAAGGAAGGGAGAGAGAAGGAAGGAAAGGAGAAAAGGAAGGAGAAAAGAATGAAGGGAGAGCAGGAAGGAAGGAAGGGAGGGGAAGGAAGGAAGGAGAAGGAAAGGAGAGAAGGAAGGCAGAAAAAAGGAAAGGAAGGAGAGAGAAGGAAGGAAGGGGAAGGAAAGGAGAAAAGGAAGGAGAAAAAGAATGAAGGGAGAGCAGGAAGGAAGGAGAAGGAAAGGAGAGAAGGAAGGAAGAAAAAAGGAAAGGAGGAGAGAGAAGGAAGGAAGGGGAAGGAAAGGAGAAAAGGAAGGAGAAAAGAATGAAGGGAGAGCAGGAAGGAAGGAAGGGAGGGGAAGGAAGGAAGGAGAAGGAAAGGAGAGAAGGAAGGCAGAAAAAAGGAAAGGAAGGGAGAGAGAAGGAAGGAAAGGGAAGGAAAGGAGAAAGGAAGGAGAAAAGAATGAAGGGAGAGCAGGAAGGAAGGAAGGGAGGGGAAGGAAGGAGAAGGAAAGGAGAGAAGGAAGGCAGAAAAAGGAAAGGAAGGGAGAGAGAAGGAAGGAAGGGAAGGAAAGGAGAAAAGGAAGGAGAAAAGAATGAAGGGAGAGCAGGAAGGAAGGAGAAGGAAAGGAGAGAAGGAAGGCAGAAAAGGAAAGGAAGGGAGAGAGAAGGAAGGAAGGGGAGGAAAGGAGAAAAGGAAGGAGAAAAGAATGAAGGGAGAGCAGGAAGGAAGGAAGGGAGGGGAAGGAAGGAAGGAGAAGGAAAGGAGAGAAGGAAGGCAGAAAAAAGGAAAGGAAGGGAGAGAGAAGGAAGGAAAGGGAAGGAAAGGAGAAAAGGAAGGAGAAAGAATGAAGGGAGAGCAGGAAGGAAGGAAGGGAGGGGAAGGAAGGAGAAGGAAAGAGAAGGAAGGCAGAAAAAAGGAAAGGAAGGGAGAGAGAAGGAAGGAAGGGGAAGGAAAGGAGAAAAGGAAGGAGAAAAGAATGAAGGGAGAGCAGGAAGGAAGGAAGGAAGATAGATAGAAGGAAGGCAGGAAAGAAGGAAAAAGGAAGGAAGGGGAAGGAAAGAAGGAAGGAAGGAGAAAAGAACGAACAGAGAGCAGGAAGGAAGGAAGATAGAGAAAGAAGGCAGGAAAGATAGAAAAAGAAGGAAGGCGGGAAAGAAGGAAAAAGAAGGAAGGGGAAGGAAAGGAGAGAAGGAAGGGAAAAAAAGGAAAAGGAAGGGAGAGAGAAGGAAGGAAAGAGGGGAAGGAAGGAAAAAGAAAGGCAGAAAAAAGGAATGAAAGGAGAGAGAAGCCCGGAGGGTGTGAGTGAGGAAGGAAGGAAGTGCTATTTTCAACCTTTCTCATATTGGAATCTAGAGCCTTAAAGGGGGTACCTCGGTTCTCCATTTGGGGCTTAGAGACGCCATCTTTGCTGGCCGGCTCCGGATACAGCAGCAGCCCATCATCCTGAACCAGCCCCAGGGCCTCCTCGCCCTGCTCGACTCCAGCCGTGGGCACCGGGATGAGAGGGAGGGGCAGCGAAGGCAACTCCCATTGCCTGGGACTGCTCTGGCCCTCTCCGCCCTGTAAGGACAAAGCAAGCCACTACTTTCACACAACCCAGGGAACCGAGGCGATGAGTTTGCCACCTTCTGGATTTGGGCACCAAGGGGAGTCAAAACTATGGGTAGTCCTCGGCTTGTGACCGTAGTTGAGCCTGGAATTACGACCATAAGCCATCACGGCTGTAAGTTGGGAGAGATCATGTCACCAGACCTGATTTTTTTTAATTTTTTTTTGCAGTGGTCACTAAGTGAATGTACGGTTGTTAAGTGAATCCATTCTCCGTAATGTTTTTTTTTTTTTTTTTTTGCAGGAAAGCGGAAATAAAAAGAAATGCAAATTGATTGGGCTAAGTATGTTGCATCAGCTTTTTGGTAGAAAATTCAACGGTTGAGTACAGGGTATCAAACCGTATCCTGGTTTAATCCTGGTTTAATTCTCACCCCAGGAAACTTTCAGGTATGCGTGGACTTCAACTCCCAGAATTCCCTTTGAACTGTATGCACGTCAGTTGCCCCGGGGGGAGTTCTGGGAGTTGAAGTACACGTACTTTAGGATTCATCAGATGGGGAAACCCTGAGTTTAATGCAGAGGAGGTATTCAGCAGATTCTGGAGAACCGGTAGAGGAAATTTTGAGTAGTTCGGAGAACCGGCTGGCCCCAGAGTGGGGTGGGAATGGAGATTTTGCAGTATCCTTCCCCTGGAGTGGGGAGGGAATGGAGATTTTGTAGTGTCCTTCCCCCTGGAGTGGGGAGGGAATGGGGATTTTGCAGTATCCTTCCCCTGGAGCGGGGAGGGAATGGGGATTTTGCAGTGTCCTTCCCCCTGGAGCGGGGAGGGAATGGGGATTTTGCAGTGTCCTTCCCCCTGGAGTGGGAAGGGAATGGAGATTTTGCAGTATCCTTCCCCTGGAGCGGGGAGGGAATGGGGATTTTGCAGTATCCTTCCCCTGCCACGCCCACCATTCGAAGCTACGAAGGCACTGAAAAAAGTGACTTACGACCATCTTTCACACTTATGACCGTGGCAGCATCCCCAGGGATTTACATCCAGCTGCTTGACAACTGTCTCATAGTTATGACGGTTGCAGTATCCTGGGGGGGGGGGGTGTTTGGTCACGCGATCTCCTTTTGCGACTTTCTGACGAACAAAGTCAACGAGGGAAGCCGGATTCACTTAACGACCAGGTGACTCACTTTAACAACAGCAGCGATTAACAGACATGGCAAGAAAGGTTGCAGAATGGGACGAAACTCACCGAACAAAGGTCTCGCTTAGTGTCCTAAATTCTGGGCTCGGTTGAGGTCGTAAGTGGAGGACCAACCTGTATTTATTTATCCATTATGAAATTTATTTGCCACCCATCTCAGGTCCCAGCGACTCTGGGCGGCTTTTATAGAATAAAAATTCAAGATTAAGGACCCGCTATAAACTTTGCCACCCGAAGCAGGGTTCCTGCCAAACCACGATTGTGCAATGCACAGTCAGCCCCCCCCCCTCCTTCCCCACCCAACGTGGCTCTTGTTCGCTGAGCTGCCACGCGTCCAAAATAAACGCAGAATAAATAAATGAAGATACCCGGAAGAATTCCTTCAGCTGGGGGCTGTTATTTAAGGCCGGGATAGGTATGGTGAAGTGGAGCATGTCTTCCGCTGCTTTTCGCCGCTCTTCGATCACCTCGGGCTCAAATCGGCCTGCGGAAGATTTGGGAGCAAGGTTTGAGAGATTCCTAAATGGCTGGGTGACGCGGGTGGCTCAGTGGCTAAGACGCTGAGCTTGTCAAACGAAAGGTTGGCAGTTCAGCAGTTCGAATCCCTAGTGCCGCGTAACGGGGTGAGCTCCCGTGACTCGTCCCAGCTTCTGCCAACCTAGCAGTTCAAAAGCAGGTAAAAAATGCAAGTGGAAAAACAGGGACCACCTTTGATGGGAAGGTAACCACGTTCCGTGCGCCTTTGGCGTTGAGTCATGCCGGCCACATGACCACGGAGACGTCTTCGGACAGCGCTGGCTCTCCGGCTTTGAAACAGAGATGAGCACCGCCCCCTAGAGTCGGGAACGACCAGCACATATGTGCGACGGGAACCTTTACCTTTACCTTAATGGCTGGGGATTAGCGGCATTGTAATCCCCGGGAAGACAAGCGGTTGGGGGGAAAAGGGGAGGAAGGGAGCTGAACGGCTCCCCCAAAATCTGGTGATTTTTTTTTCCCCCCCCCGGGCTGCAAAACCGGGCGAGGGGTCGTTCGTGGACTCACCGAAGACCTGAGCCCGCGGGAAAGCGGGGAAATCCTCCATGCGCCGGAAGAGGTTGCGATGGGTGTACGCCAGGTCGGCGTGCAGCTTCTTAAAGTCGCTGTATCTCTTCCAGACCACGATCTGCGGGATGCGAAGCGATTCAGACAAACGGGCAATTCGTGGCTGTGTGCCTGAAGGCGTTGGTGATGAAAGGCAGTGCGGTGTTTCTAGAATGTCGGCGATTTTCAGACGGGCGGACTTCAACTCCCAGAATTCCCCTGCCGGCATGTGGAGTCCATTTCATGCCGGCTGGGGAATTCTGGGAGTTGAAGTCCGCCCCTCGTCAAGGTGCTAAGATTGGAGAAAACGCCATTATCGTGCATCAGCCAGATCTCGTTTCTACACACACACACACGCACCCCTTAAGGTATAAGAACCTCTTTTTTCAACAATCTACCTCACAGGGCTGTTGTGACGGAAGAATATAGAATAATAGGGTTAGAAGGGAGCTTGGAGGTCTTCTAGTCCAACCCCCTGCCTGTGATAGGATATTTGCAACTGACCCTGATCAGTGTCCTCGGAGAATTGGCAACCATAAACCCCGGAAAACGGCTGCTTGAGGCATCCACTAAGGGTGCTGTGTGTGAATCCAGCCGCTAAGCCCCTCCACCAGCCCGCCGATCTTGGGACAGTGTGTTGTGCAAAGGGTTACTCCTGCCTCATAGCCTGACTAGGCGGCTCAGCGGCTAAGACGCTGAGCTTGTCGATCAGAAAGGTCGGCCGTTCGGCGGTTCGAATCCCTAGTACAGGTGAGCAGGGGGGTTGGACTAGATGACCTCCAAGGTGCCTTCCAACTCTGTTATTGTTACTGCCTTCCCTCTTGGCAGGCTGGGTCCTTCACGTACCTCCTTGGTGTCATCCGGATTCGCCTTTGAGACAAACTGGAAGGGGGAAAAAAAAAAGAGAGAGATAAAACAGGAGGACGAAAAGTCAAATCGGCGCCTTTGCCAAATTTTGCCCTCCCTGATGGTTGAAGAATGCCAGGGAGTGGCGGTTGGCACAGAGCAAGATGCCAGCTCCAAAGCAAGCTCCCTCCTGCATGTCCAGATGCTCTCTGGGGGCCCCCAGCAATTGCAACCCCAGCAATTTCCCCTCTCAATCTCCCCACTGGCAGCCCCATTGCACCGCCTGGCGGTGCACACACATTACACACATATTACACACTCACACCTCTGCCAAGGGACAGGCTGGGGAGGGAGGAGGAGGGAAAGCAGCCCCCCACCCTTTTTGCAAAAAAAAATAAATCAAATAAATAAATGCAAAAAGGAAAACCAGCTCCTCTCTGCTCCCGGCTCTCTGCACATGCTCCTGAAACTATTTCCTCCTTTTTTTTTTTTTTTTTTTCTGGCTGTCCCTCCAAACCCCCCCCCCCCCCCTTTTTTCCTTTTTGGGGGGGGGGGGCCCCCCCCCCCCCTTGGGGAGGAGGATGGGGGGGCTCCTCTTTGCAAACCCCTTCCTCACTTTAGCCGTGACTTTGTACTCGGTGTAGCCTTTGGGGTGGCTGCGGGGGTCGCTGACCGCGTAGGAGCGATGAAACTCCTCCTTCGCCCGACGGGACATCCCGGGAGCCTTTTTGGGCGACGCGGCCCCTTTAAATCCAGGGCTGGGGCCGAAGAGGAGGAAAAAAAGTCCGCGCGCTGCCCGAAGGGGGGTGTCCTGCAGGGCGCATGCGCATCCAAACCCTGCCTTTCCTCTCTGCGGCGCTAATCCAAGGGAGCGTCTGCAAAGGACAACCCTGCGAGTTCGGCGTTTAGGGATCGTGGGCCAAGTTCCCGATTGGGCAAAAAAAAGGCGAATGAGGATCGTTTTCTTTCCCCAACCTGGCGCCCCCTCAGGGGAATCTTGCAAAGGACCACTCCCCGAATTCCAAAGCATTGGAGGAGGGGGGAAAAGCTGGGAAGTTGGGCTTTCCACCTCCATCCCCAGCTGCAGAGTTTTACAGATTAATACTTTCTTTCTTTCTTTCTTTCTTTCTTTCTTTCTTTCTTTCTTTCTTTCTTTCTTTCTCTTTCTTTCTCCTTCCTTCCTTCCTTCCGTTCTTCTGTCTTTCCAATTTTCCATCTCTCTCTTTTTTTCTCTTCTTCTTTCTCTTTCTTTTTCTTTCTTTCTTTCTTTCTTTCTCCTTCCTTCCTTCCGTTCTTCTGTCTTTCCAATTTTCCATCTCTCTCACTTTTTTTCTCTTCTTTCTTTCTTTCTTTCTTTCTTTTTCTTTCTTTCTTTCTTTCTCCTCCCTTCCTTCCGTTCTTCTGTCTTTCCAATTTTCCATCTCTCTTTTTTCTCTTCTTCTCTTTCTTTCTCTTTCTTTCTCTTTCTTTCTCCTTCCTTCCTTCCGTTCTTCTGTCTTTCCAATTTTCCATCTTTTTTTCTCTTTTCTTTCTTTCTTTCTCTTTCTTTCTCCTTCCTTCCTTCCGTTCTTCTGTCTTTCCAATTTTCCATCTCTTTTTTTCTCTTCTTCTTTTTCTTTCTTTCTTTTTCTTTCTCCTTCCTTCCTACCGTTCTTCTGTCTTTCCAATTTTCCATCTCTCTTTTTTTCTCTTCTTCTTTCTTTTTCTTTCTTTCTTTTTCTTTCTCCTTCCTTCCTTCCGTTCTTCTGTCTTTCCAATTTTCCATCTCTCTCTTTTTTCTTTCTTTCTTTCTTTCTCTCTTTTTCTCTTTCTCTTTTCTCTTTCTTTCTCTCCCTCATCTTCCTTCCTTCCTTCCTTCCTTCCTTCCTTTCTTTTCTTTCTTTCTTTCTTTCTTGTATTTATATGCCGCCCTTCTCCAGAAGGACTCAGGGCGGCGAACTCAAGTTAAAAACATGTACAACAAAATCCCATTTTAAAGCAAATTAACTAATAAATAATAAATCCCAGAATCAGAGTCAGCCTATTTGCTTGAACAGCCAAGTCTTCAGGTCCCGACCTGAAGGAGCGGAGATCAGGAGCCGTCCAGCTCCTTGGGGTATTGGGACCTTGGAGGTCATCTAGTCCAACCCCCCCACCCAAGCTTGAGTTCGAGTTTCTCAAACTTTAACCTTGGATATCGACTCCCAGAATTCCCCAGATTGTGGAAGGGGGGAGCAGGAAGGATGCAAATCTTGAAAAGGAATAAATAAACGCAGGGAATCCTCGATTTACATTGAGCCCCAAAACACCTGCCGCTAAGCGAGGCAGTTGGTTAGTGAGCTGTGACCCGTTTTACGACACTTTCTTGCCACCGTTGCTAAGTGAGTCATTGCGGTTGTTAAAGATTACGAACACGGTTGTTAAGTGAATCTGGCTTCCCACACTGGCTTTTCTTGTCAGGAGGCCGCAAAAGGGGATCATGGGACACGGCAGCCGTCATAAATAGGAGTCATTTGCCAAGCGTCCAAGTTTTGATCATATGACCTGCAGTGGTCGTAAGTGTGAAAAACAGTCAAGTCGTTTTTCTAGTGCTGTGTTAATTTGGAATGGTTACTAAATGGTCGCTAAATGAATTGTTGTAAGTTGAGGACCATCTGTATGCCAAACCCACCATGGAAGAGGTGGATCACTCCATGCTGGCTGGGGAATTCTGGGAGTTGAAGTCCACCCCTCTTAAAACATGCTGGCTGGGGAATTCTGGGAGTTGAAGTCCACCCCTCTTAAAACATGCTGGCTGGGGAATTCTGGGAGTTGAAATCCACCCCTCTTAAAACATGCTGGCTGGGGAATTCTGGGAGTTGAAGTCCATCCATCTTCAAGTGTTCGAAGTTGAGAAACACCCATCTAAACATTGCCAAACTAGAAAAAGCTGGCTTATTCAAACCTGCACCCAGATTTCTTTTATTAGAGAATCGGTGGGAAGATCTTTTGAAATAGAAAATATGTTTTCCTGCTTCTGGGATTGAATAAGCGGATTTGTTGCCCTCTGCAAAGTGGGATTATGATGGGTTATTTCAATGTTTTTAAGAACCTGGGGACAGTTATGCAACATGGAAAAAGATTATTTTTACAATAATAAACAAAGCAAATAATGAAACCCACACGCTGGCCTTCAGATTCAAATACCAAATAAACAAAACTGATCAGTTGGCTGATGTGGATGAAATTCAGAAGCTGTTCCCAGTAATTTTTCTGAATAATAATAATAATAATAATAATAATAATAATAATAATAATAATACATCCAGAAAAGTGAAGAACCAATGATTAAGGAAGTAAATAAAGGAGGCCTTTTAAAGACAACTAAAACAAAAGCAGAATATAAGAAAGAAGTAATTGAGCAGTGAGCTGAAAATTGGAAACGCAAAGCTCTGCATGGCCAATACTTGAAAAGTATTGAAGGCAAAGCTGACCAGAAACTAACTTGGAACTGGTTAAGATCAGGAGTACTGAAAAAAGAAACAGAAAGCTTTATTTTGGCAGCTCAAGAACAAGCCCTAGCCACAAACTACATGAAGGCAAAAATTCAACATGTTACCACCAACAGCAAATGCTGCCTCTGCAATGAGAAAGATGAGACAGTCGACCACCTGATCAGTGGGTGCAGTAAAATTTCACAAACTGACTACCTACAACGCCGTGACCGTGTTGCTAAGATCATTCACTGGAAATTGTGCCAGAAGTTTGGATTTGAGTACAGCAAAAACCACTGGGAACATCAGGTTGAGAAAGTTTTAGAGAATGAGAAACTCAAGATCTTGAGGGACTTTAGGATTCAGACTGACAGGCACTTGGTCCACAACACACCTGACATAACAATAGTTGAAAAGAAAAAAGGATGGTTCATTGACATTGCAATACCTGGTGATGCACGAATTGAAGATAAGCAGCAAGAAAAAAATCACAAAGCACCGGGACTTGCAAATTGAAGTTGAGCAACTGTGGGAAAAAGAAATTGTGTGTTGTCCCGATTGTAATTGGAGCCCTCGGAGCAATACCCAAAGGGCTACCCCGCTATTTAGAAATTCTAAATTTGCCGGACTTGAACATTTTGACTCTACAAAAAACCACCTTACTCAGAACACCTGACATCCTCCGACGATACCTTAACAGTTCCTAGGTCCTTGGTTAGGACTCGAGCTGCTGAGCTATTAACCAGCCTCAAAGGCTGTGAATCTCACTAAAGATTAACCAATAATAATACCATTAGCACCATTTTTAAATGTTCAGTTGACTGAGTTTCATGTTTAATGAATAAAATAAAAATAACAACAACAACAATAATACATCAAAAAATTGCAGCTTCCTGCAATAACCCCAGCGGAACTGCAAAAAACTGCGCTACTCGGAACATCATATATTTTAAGAAGGTACTTGGTTGATACCTGGGATGCTGGCAGCAACCCGTATCAACCATTAGCACCAACCAATCGTGTTTGTGACACCTTTTGAAATGTTTTGTTGACTGAGTTTCACGTTTAATGAATAAGAGATAATAATAATAATGCTCGTTTAAAATTTCCTCCTCTCCCTCCTAAACATATATGGACCTCCTGCAGTGGTAAAATCTAAAATTTGTTACTACCGGTTGTTAGCGTGGCTTGGTAGGGTGGGGTGTAATGTGACTGGGTGGGCGTGGCCAATTTTATTTTAAACTTTTAAAACCATTTTTTCTACCTCTTCGGCTGAAGAGGTTATAGAAAAAATGCTTTTAAAAGCCTCTGACGATCCCAGCTGAGTTGCCTGATCGGCAGAGGCTTTTTTTTTCTTTTAAAACCATTTTTTCTACCTCTTCGGCTGAAGAGGTTATAGAAAAAATGCTTTGAAAAGCCTCTGACGATCCCAGCTGAACCGCGCGATCATCAGAGGCTTTTTTTTTTTTACTTTTAAAAGCATTTTTTCGGCCAAAGAGGTTGTAGAAAAAATGTGTTTAAAAATAAAAATAAAAAATCCTCTGATGATCGCGCGGCTCAGCTGGGCATGGGGGGGGGGCAGGGATTTTTGCTACCGGTTCTCCGAACCACCCGCCACCATCGCTACCGGATCAGGCGGTCCGGTCCGAACCAGGAGCATTTCACCCCTGGACTTCCTGTTTCGTCCAAGGATGCTTAACACGCGATGGTTAAATCCATTTTTAGACTAGAAAGCAACAGGCCAGCTTTGCAATCAGGTGGCCAACCTAACCACGAAAGAACTAACCGACTAAAGAAACAACCAGTTTTTTAGGAGCATGAATCTAATCCTTCCCAAACCAGTTGTGGGAACGTAGCCCAACCTGGTTTAGCATGTGCAAACCTCGAACCCAGAACAGCGAAAAGACCCCAGCCACACACAAGCCGACTCCAAAACCGACTCTCTTTAAAACAGCCACAGCTTTATTGCTCTGCTCTTAACACAATCCCGTGCGGAGAAGGGGGACATAACAAAAAAAACATGGATTTCTCGCCTACCCTACCCGCCCCCCCCAGCCACAGGATGGATGCCACGGGCCACACCGAATGTGGGCGCAAACACTGATTTTTGCAATGGGTGTTGTTTCAATTGGACCCAGATCCAGGGCCAAAGATGGGCCTTTTAAGCATTGGTCAAAATACAGTCTTTAAATTGATGTTTTTCAACCTGGAAGATGGGTGGACTTCAACTCCCAGAATTCCTCCGTTTCTCAAGCTGGGCAGCTTGAAGATAGGTGGACTTCAACTCCCAGAATTGGAAAATTCTGGGAGTTGAACTGGCTGGGGAATTCTGGGAGTTGAAGTCCACCCAGCTGGCTGGGGAACTCTGGGAGTTGAAGTCCATCCAGCTGGCTGGGGAATTCTGGGAGTTGAAGTCCACCCAACTGGCTGGGGAATTCTGGGAACTGGAAGTCCATCCAGCTGGCTGGGGAATTCTGGGAACTGAAGTCCATCCAGCTGGCTGGGGAACTCTGGGAGTTGAAGTCCACCCAACTGGCTGGGGAATTCTGGGAACTGAAGTCCATCCAGCTGGCTGGGGAATTCTGGGAACTGAAGTCCATCCAGCTGGCTGGGGAACTCTGGGAGTTGAAGTCCACCCAACTGGCTGGGGAATTCTGGGAGTTGAAGTCCATCCAGCTGGCTGGGGAATTCAGCTGGGGAATTCTGGGAGCTGAAGTCCATCCAGCTGGCTGGGGAATTCTGGGAGTTGAAACCCCCCATCTTCCAGTGCCCAAGATTGAAAAACACTGTTAGAGCCTCTCAATCCGCGGTGAATATCCGGCTTGAGATGTCGTCCAACAGCCAATCGATGCCCGCCAGAAGATTTTCCCCGGTGTAAGCACTGCAACCTCGGATGCACCAATGGTGGGTTTGGATGCTGTCGAGATCCAGGGCCTGGGAACGAGGAAGCAAAGAGAAAAATGAAAAAAAAAAATAATCGTCTTCCGTGCAAGGGTCTCCTGTTGTCTGGATGTTGTGGCCTGTCGGTCACCGGCCCCTCCAAGCAACCGACTCAGAGGAGGAAGAGGAGGTGAGGGAGTCAGGATCAGCATCAAGGCAACCCAAGAGCTCCGAGGGGGAAGTGGGAATGGAACTGGGGGAGAGAGAGAAACAGAAGCGGAGCCTGGGCCGTCCGTCAGTCCTCAGATGGAGAGTCAACAGCCCTCAGGTCTGGAGGTGGCTGATGAGGAAGAGGAGGAGCAGCTGGGTCCAGTGCCTGATACGCAGAAGGCAGAGGAGAGGAGAGCAGTGGAAATCTATGGGCCGGTCCTTGGGACGGAAGAGCAACTTCTGCTAGTAAAGGCCCACCTTAGCTCTGGGGATAAAAGGCAGGAGCAGAGATGAATAGGTGTGGCAGACAACTATTCGTCTCCCTGCCGGACTTGTTAACCTGCGGTGAGAGAGAAACTTTTTGCCGGGGCTGCCAGGGCTCCTAATTAAAGGAATAATTGATTTAAATTCAGAGGGTTTGTCGTATTTGGGGAGCTGACTCAGATCGCTGGAGCTATTTTTTTTTTTTTTGTTCTGTGTTTTTTCACCACACCACTAATAAACCACTGAACTGCAATTTAGCAACATAAACATATTAAACCATATTGTTCCTATCAGGGGTGAAATGTAAAATTTGTTACTACCGGTTCTGTGGGCGTGGCTTGGTGTGGGGGGTAATGTGACTGGGTGGGCGTGGCCATTTAAAAAAAAAAAAAAAACTTTTCAAAGCATTTTTTCTAATGCTTTGAAAAGCCTCTCTGCCGATCAGGCAACTCAGCTGGGATCGTCAGAGACTTTTCAAAGCATTTTTTTTTTACCACCTCTTCAGCCAAGAGGTTTCAGAAAAAAATGCTTTGAAAAGCCACTGACAATCCCAGCTGAGCTGCGCGATCATCAGAGGCTTTTTTGTTTTTACTTTTAAAAGCATTTTTTCGGCGGAAGAGGTTGTAGAAAAAATGCTTTTAGAAGTAAAAAAAAAAAATAAAGCCTCTGATGATGGTGCAAACCGATTGAATAAATAAATACACAAACAACCTGCCATAGTCCTTACCTCCTGGATGGCACTGGGACTTAACGCACCCGGCAGGTCCTGCTTATTGGCAAAGATGAGAAGCGTGGCACCAGACAAACGCTGTGCAGAGAGAAAGAGGGAAAAAAAAAAAAGCAATAAATTTGCCAAATCTTCTCACTCAACCTAACGGCTTACAGGGGGCAGCACAGCAAATGCCAATTTTTGGGAATTGCAGTCCTAAGTCCTAAAGCGTTGCTGGGGAGACGTGGTCACTTTAAGATGGGTGGACTTCAACTCCCAGAATCCCCCAGCTGGTATAGAAAGTAGAACAGCTCCCAAACTTGCTGGGTTGGGCCACAATGAAGCAGCAGCCCAATCCCGAATAGGTTTCCTCGACGGGGTCTCGGCAGATGCTCTCAGCCTTGCTGGAGTTGATTAGGACTGGATGGGAGACCACAAGGAAATCACGGGGATGACAACGGCGGGGGGTCAGAGACTACATTGCCAAGAATATTATTTTTTCGATACTTATGTGTATTTGTATCCCTTTATTCTTTTTACAAATAACTCAAGGGGGCAAACATACCCAACGCATCTGCCTCCTCCTATTTTCCCCACAACAACAACAACCCTGTGAGGTGGGCTGAGAGAGAAGGACTGGCTCAAAGTCACCCAGCTGGCTTTCATGTCTAAGGCGGGACTAGAACTCACTGTCTCCTGGTGATTGACCCAAAGTAACCCTGTCAGCTTTCATATCTAAGGCGGGACTAGAACTCACTGTCTCCTGGTGATTGGCCCAAAGTCACCCTGTTGGCTTTCATGTTTAAGGCGGGACAAGAACTCACTGTTTCCTGGTGATTGGCCCAACGTCACCCTGTCGGCTTTCATGTTTAAGGCAGGACTAGAACTCACTGTCTCCTAGTGATTGGCCGAAATTCACCCTCTCAGCCTTCATGATTAAGGCGGTACTAGAACTCACCATCTCCTGGTGATTGGCCAAAAATCACCCTGTTGGCTTTCATGATTAAGGTGGTACTAGAACTCCCAGTCTCCTGGTGATTGGCCCAAAGTCACCCTGTCAGCTTTCATGTCTAAGGTGGGACTAGAACTCATTGTCTCCTGGTGATTGGCCGAAAATCACCCTGTTGGCTTTCATGATTAAGGCGGTACTAGAACTCACCATCTCCTGGTGATTGGCCCAACGTCACCCAGCTGGCTTTCATGTCTAAGGTGGGACTAGAACTCACCGTCTCCTGGTGATTGGCTCAAAGTCACCCTGTCGGCTTTCATGATTAAGGCAAGACTAGAACTCCCAGTCTCCCGCTATCTAGCCTGATGTCTTCCCGAAATAAAACTGGTTACAAATATAAGTTACATTTATATCTATGAAGAGACTGGGAGTCTGGGAGTTGAAGTCCACATCTCTTAAAAGTTCCCACGGTGGAGAAACACCCCTCCAGATGTTTTGGGGAATCCGCCCCAGAATTCCCTGCCCCGGCCAAGGAATTCTGGGAGTGGACGTCTCCAAGACGCTGGAAGGCATGCAATGGCCCCCACCCATTCCAAAGGAAGCCGCCCTTTCCCTCCCACCCAACCCCCCGACGAGGTCGCCCACCTCCTCCACCAGGAGGGTCTCCAACTCCTTCTTGCAGTCCTCCATTCGCTGGTGGTCAGCGCTGTCCACCACCCAGATGAGCCCGTCGGTGCTCTCAAAATAGTTGCGCCAGTAGGAGCGCAGGGACTTCTGGCCCCCCACGTCCCAGATGTTCAGCTTGAACCTGTGGGGAGGGGGAGAGAGAGAGAGAGAGGCATGGCGGAGATGGGAGAGGCAGGCCAAAGGGGAAGGAGAAGCGGGGAGCAGGAGGAGGAGGAGGAGGAGGAAGGGAAGGTGCCAGAATCCTCACCCGCGATGCTCCAGGGTCTTGATGTTGAAGCCCAGCGTGGGAGAGATGGTGTCGATCTCGTCCCCGTTGAACTTTTTCAGGATGGTGGTTTTGCCGGCGTTGTCCAGGCCCCTCAGGGCAGGCCGAGTCAAGGGCAAAACGGGGTTCAAGCCCAAACAGGAGAGTTTACACCATTAACAGATTAACAGGAAGGGACCGTGGAGGTCATCTAGTCCAACCCCCAGCCCAAGCAGGAGACCCTACACCATTTATTAATAGATTAACAGAAAAACAGAACTGGGAAGGGATCTTGGAGGTCATCTAATCCAACCCCGCCCAAGCAGGAGACCCCACACCATTTATTAACAGATTAACCGAAAAACAGAGCTGGGAAGGACCCTTGTGGGTCATCTAGTCCAGCCCCCAGCCCAAACAGGAGAGCCTACACCATTAACAGATTAACTGAGTTGGAAGGGACCTTGTAGGTCATCTAGTCCAGCCCCCAGCCCAAACAGGAGAGCCTACACCATTAACAGATTAACTGAGTTGGAAGGGACCTTGTAGGTCATCTAGTCCAGCCCGCAGCCCAAGCAGGAGACCCCCACACCACTTATTAACAGATTAACCGAAAAACAGAGCTGGGAAGGGACCTTGGAGGTCATCTAGTCCAACCCCGCCCAAGCAGGAGACCCCCACACCACTTATTAACAGATTAACCGAAAAACAGAGCTGGGAAGGGCCCTTGTGGGTCATCTAGTCCAGCCCCCAGCCCAAGTAGAAGACCCCCACCCCATTTGTGACAGTCTCTTTTGGAAAGCTTCCAGCGACGAAGCTGTCTCTTCCCCAGCATTTCTGCGCCTCTAAACCTAAGGGGCGAGCATCCCTGGGAAGCCCAAAGCATGCAGAGATGGAGCCCAAAGCACTCTGCCCATGCACAAGGGCACTCTTGACCAGGCGAGTGGGGAGAGATGGGAAGGCTGTGCCTGGGGAGGGAGGGAGGGAGGGAGCCCAGCCCAAAGCAGCTTCTCTTTCCTGGGATGCAAAAGTCAGGGGTCCCCCCCCCCCCCCCCTCCCCCCCCCCCCCCCCCCCCCCCCCCTGGCTTCCCCCCATTTGCTCCTTTTTTTCTCTCTCTCCTGGCGGAAGGATACAGCATCAGCAGCCGCAGCTCCCGCTCCTTCTGCCGCATTTTCTTCAAGATGCTCAGCAGCCCCATCGCCCGCGCGGAAGCCTCTGCCCGCGCTCGCTCCGCCCACCGCCGGGATTACACACGCGCGTGGCTCCGCCCCCTCCGAACTCCGCCTCCGCCAATCAGAAAGGCCGGAGGGGGAGGGGGAGGGGCGGTCCCGGCTGTAGAAGAACATAGGGGGGGGGGGGGGGTGGAAATGTAAAATATACACTTCCGGCTCTCAATCGCAATTCTGCTGGTTCCTGCGTGGCAGCCAGAAGACGGCGGCCGAAGGGACTTGGTGCGTGTGTGTGTGTGTGTGTGTGTGTGTGTGTGTGTGTGTGTGTGTGTGAAGCAATTATTGTATAGAATGCACACACGGTTGTGTAGAGACTTTGTGTAGATGGCAAGCAAAGAGATTGAACAAAATAACAAAGGGATCCTTAGAGGTCTTCTAGTCCAACCCCCCCCACAAGCAGAATTTATACATTGCGAGACAAGTTATGTATGTTATGTATGTATATTTCCATGTGTGTGTGTCATATATATGTATATGTATATATAAACACACATAACTTAAGAAGACAAACACACATATATACATATACATACACACACACACACACACACACACACACATATATATATATGGAAGAAACAGCTGCGATCACACACATTGCTCCTAGAAGCACGAAGCCGAAAACACCAGCCTGAAGATGACAAATGAGACTTCGTCGAAACGTCGCCAAGACACCTCCAATTTTACGTGGGAGAAGACCCGAATAACCAAAGACCTACATACAAACACCCGCGAAAACCTCAGAAAACACATATATATATAATTATATATAGTTATGTATATATAACTATATATAACTATAATTAGTATATATAACTAATTAGTATATATACTAATAATTAGTATATATAACTAATTATTTGTGTTGAGTACTGTCTGGGTGTTTGTGACAAAGTTTTCAGTCTACTCAGAAGTAAAAGCTTTCTATCAAATTAATTTGATATTTTCAAATGGGGGGAAAGATTTTAATGAGGTTTAGTCAGGTTTTTTCCATCAAGTCTGTGCACCTTTCACTTCAAAAAGGAACCTGAAGTCGAATCTGCCCACAAGTGTGACCTCACCCCTTTTCTCCCCGTGGCCATTCAATGACGAGTCCCGCCCTCTTCCCGGTAGAGAAGACCAATCGCCAAGCTGGAAGATTGTCAAAGCTACCGCAACGTAGATCGCCGAAACTTTAAAGAGATACGTGCTGTGGCATTGAGAGTTTAAAAAGATGATTTATTTTTTTTTTTGCCGGGGAGAAGGGATTATAGACCCAAATTAGGAAGAAGAAAAAAAAAATCTCAATTCTGTCTAAATTCGTTTTGTGACGTTTAATTTAATGCAAAAAAAGCAAACAGAGATGTCTGCTTATGTCTGTTCTGTGGGCATGGCTTGGTGGGCGTGGTGTGGCTTGGTGGGCGTGGCAGGGGAAGGATACTGCAAAATCTCCATTCCCACCCACTCCAGGGAAAGGATACTGCAAAGTCTCCATTCCCACCCCACTCCAGGGGAAGGATACTGCAAAGTCTCCATTCCCACTCCACTCCAGGGGAAGGATACTGCAAAATCCCCATTTCCTCTCCACTCTGGGGCCAGCCAGAGGTGGTGTTTGCTGTTTCTCCGAATTACTCAACGTTTCCACTACCGGTTCTCTGAATTGCTCAAAATTTCCGCTACCGGTTCTCCAGAACCTGCTGGATTTCACCCCTGATCCTGGTCCTTGGTGCCTTTCAGATGTGCTTGTTGGAAATGTTGGCACCTGTAAAGACCCACTGTGGAGTGTGTCAGACTGACGGCTGCCCCAGACGGAGCCAACCGTACCCCTTTTGATGAATGCAAGAAACAGGTGGAAGGGGGTAAATGGGTATTTTATTTAATGTAATGTTTATTTAATCTAATTTTAAAAGACTCGGTTCCTTCCTTTTTAGGGAAATAATAAATATTCCAGAGAAAGGAGACTCTGGAAAGGGAAGCGGTCTCTTTTAAGGGTGGTTCCGTTCCATAAAAAAAAAAAAAAAAAACTGAGGCAGAGTGTTCCACAGGCAATGTTTTTATTTGGTTTGCAACTGAAGTCTCTTCTACTGACCTCTTGAAGGGAAAAAAACCCCATATCACAGAATGCTCAAACACCATTTGTGTGAAACGTTGAATAGCATCAAAGGTTTGAAAGAATTACAGAATTGGAAGGGACCTCGGAGGCTATCTAGTCCAACCCCCTGCTCAAGCAGGAAGGAGACCCTCAACCATGTTAGAGAAATAGCTCTCCAAAAGTTTTGAAACCGGGGAAATCTTCTCCAAACAGCAGCTGCCCCTGTTTTTTCTTCTTTCAGAATTAAGAAACATTTTTCCAGCTGTGGATACTTTTAACTACAGCTGGCCAGTGAAGGATGCTGGGAGTTGTAGTTCATCAGCACCAGTGATGCAGCCATGGAAAGGCTGATGAAATACATTTTCCCAGGTTCCCCACCATAGAACTGCTGGGGAAGTGCAGCCACATCTGGAAAACCTGAGAGTGGCCCAATCCTATTTTTTGCACGATTATTCCAGTGTGATAAATAGCACTCACAATGCATCAAAGCACCGATATGTCTCTGTAATACAATGTTATTCAACCTCTGCAAATTTAAGATGGGTGGACTTCAACTCCCAAAACTCCCCAGGGTAAAGCATGCTAGCTGGGGAATTCTGGGAGTTGAAGTCCTTATACTTAAAGCTTGCTGGCTGGGGAATTCTGGGAGTTAAAAATCCACCCATCTTAAAGCTTGCTGGCTGGGGAATTCTGGGAGTTGAAGTTCAGCCCTCTTAATGCATATTTAGCTGGGGAATTCTGGGAGTTGAAGTCCTTATACTTAAAGCTTGCTGGCGGGGGAATTCTGGGAGTTAAAATCCACCCATCTTAAAGGTTGCTGGCTGGGGAATTCTGGGAGTTGAAGTCCATATGCTTAAAGCTTCCTGGCTGGAGAATTCTGGGAGTTGAAGTCCATATGCTTAAAGCTTGTTGGCTGGGGAATTCTGGGAGTTAAAAATCCATCCATCTTAAAGCTTGCTGGCTAGGGAATTCTGGGAGTTGAAGTTCAGTCCTCTTAATGCATGCTAGCTGGGGAATTCTGGAAGTTGAAGTCCATATCCTTATAGCTTGCTGGCTGGGGAATTCTGGGAGTTAAAATACGCCCATCTTAAACTTGCAGAGGTTGAAAAAGACTGCTCTAATACAAGCAGCAAATGCCGGTTACCCGTATAAGCAGAACAAGGAGGCACAATAGAGACGCTGTAAACGACCATCACGATTTGCTGCCGAGCTAGCTTTCTACATACAGGGAAGAGATTTGCAAACCTGCGGCCTTTTCAAGGCAGATTCTTCTTTCGTGCATGAAAACGAGACCCGCGGCCACCCACGCCGCAGCGTGAAACCCCCTATCCCGCCTCAGCTGCAGACCCTCTCCGAGAGATCCAACAGTGTCCCCTTCCACTTTCCGTCCACGAGGAGAAGGGAAGTCCGGTTTTCCAACGGTGCGGAATCCCTGAAGGAGCCTTTCTGGAAGACGACGCTGCCCTCGATCACGGTCAAGCCGTGTGCCCGGCATAAATCAGCGGCCTCTTCCGGGCTGTCGATAGCCAACAGGTGGATCAGCCGGGCCAGGGGATACCGGCAGTTCTTTGCATTGAAACCGTGGCTGAAAGTGAGCAAGGCCAGGCGCCGAGTCTTGGCCAGGTGCGGATGGAGGGCGCAGCTGGGGAGGTAAGGGAGCTGCCGGGCCAGGCGAAAGAAACGGGCAAAATTGTGTTCCAGGAAAGCCCAGTGGATGGCGAGGGCGGTCTTGAGTTCAGGAGATGCTCGGATATCGTCGGACAGCTGGAGGATCTGCCAGAGGGCATCTGGGGAGCCTGGGGGAGGAAGGAAGGAACAGAGATAAGACAAAAAATTTTTTTTAAAAAGAGGGGGACAGTAATCCCTAACTTGACTTATGACCACAATTGAGCCCAACATTTCTGTTGTTAAGTGAGACCTTTGTCTTTTAAATGCAGGTGGACTGCTGAATCTGCTCCTGATGGGTTTTTGTTCTCCTATGTTGTGCCATGCGTTTATGAAGTGGTTGTTTTGTTTCCCCAATGTACAGAACTGCACATGGCTCACTGCGTTGTACTGCATATACCACGTTGCTCAGTTTGTCTCTGGGTGTTTTTTTCCCCAGTATTTGAGGGGCAGCCACAAAGACGAGTGTTTGGGGGGGGGGTCAACCTATTCTCCAAATCGCCTAAAGGCAGGACAAGAAGCAACGCATGGAAACTAATCAAGGAGAGAAGCAACCTGGAATTAAGGAGAAGCTTTCTGACAGTGAGGACAATTAACCAGTGGAACAGCTTGCCACCAGAAGTTGTGGGGGCTTCATTGCTGGAGGTTTTTAAGAAGAGACCAGACAGTCACTTGTCTGAAATGGTTTGGGTCTCCTGCTTGAGCAGGGGGCTGGACTAGAAGACCTCCAAGGTCCTTTCCAACTCCATTCTGATTAATTAATTGATTGATTTTGAAATGATATAGGTTCTCCTGCTTGAGCAGGGGGCTGGACTAAGACCTCCAAGGTCCCTTCCAGCTCTGATTGAGATTGTATAGGGCAAATCTATGGCACGTGTGCCACAGGTGGCACCTGGAGCCATATCAGTGGGCAGACAAGCATTGCCCTAGCTCACCTCCGTCACGAATGCACGGGCCAGCCAGCTGATTTTTGGGCCTTCCGGGCCCACTGAAAGTCGGGAAACGGGTTGTTACCGGCCTCCGGAGGGCCTCCAGAGGGGTGGGGAAGGCTGTTTTCGCCCTCCCCAGGCGCCAAGAAAGCCTCTGGAACCTGGGGAGGGTGGAAAACGGGCCTACCAGGCCCACCGTGCCATCGCGCGCCAAAAGCGTAAGGAGTGGGGGTGGCGGTGGCACCTGTATGCGTGGGGGGGGGCGTGGGGCGCATTGAATTATGGGTGTGTGGACACGCACGCGTGTGCCCCCCCTGGGGTCCCCCCACTTTTGGCATGCGATGGCAAAATGGTTAGCCATCACTGGTATAGAGCCTGCTGTTTGAGTTGGACTAGAAGACTGTTAGGATATGGTTTGAGCCTAACTATGTTGTACAGGCAATATAAGTGTACTGTTACTTCTGTATATGTATTATGTGGCTTTAATGCTGAGTCATGCTGTAATCACATAGTTACTGGTTGTGAGAATATTTAAGCAAAGCTTCTGTAACGTGTTCAGTTGCTGCTATGATCTGCTGTTGAGAGGAAGCTGCAATGCTATGCTGCTGTTGATTATGAAGCTGTGATGATAAGCTACCATTGAGAGGAGTTGTTATCTGTAATCATCGTTTGATGGATCTGCAACCATCGTGGTTTGTGAACCAGAGTGAGTTTGTTATTCTAACCAACTACTGTTTGTTGAGTAAGAAGATTCTGTAACTACTGGACTGATTTAGTGGCAAAGACTTGGAATTTGTTTAAAGACTATGAGACTGTTTTTCTACTATAAAGTAAGCTTTTGATAAACCAGTTTGCATATCTCTTATTCATCGCTCTCAGCAACGTTTCTCTGTGCAATCCACTCTGCTGGTTGGTAACACAACAACAATAACCTTAACATTGACGTCCAAGATCCCTTCCAACTCCATTCTGGTTGATTTGATCACAGGAAGTTTTTAAGAAGTGATTGGACAACCATTTGTCTGAAATCGTGCTTGAGCAGAGGGCTGGACTAGAGGACCTCCAAGGTCCCTCCCAGCTCTATTCCATCCTTGGGGTGGAGAAGCTTCACCTCCTAGGCATGCTGGTCCATGGGCAGCCCCTTTTTTCTGGCATCCTTCCCCCCATTTTCAGATCCAACCCCCCCCTCCCCAAAACCCCAGGACTACCAGCCCCATCGGGCTCACCCAGGTGGTAGAGCAAGAAGAGCGCTTGGAAGCGAGGCTGGGCAGGATGCGCGCCGGGCCGGCGGTAGGCGCGGCGCAGGGCGGCGAAGGTCTCGCGCAGCTGCCCGTCGTGCAGGTGAGGGTCGAAGCGGGCGGGCGCCTGGTTGCAAAGCCGGGCCCCGGCGTGGAGCAGGTAAAGCAACGCGCGCTCCAGCAAGGCGGCGCAAGGGGCGGCAGGCGGGCGTTGCAAAGCCAGATCCAACCGGACGGCGCGCAGCCGGTCGGCCACGAAGGCGCAGCGCTCGGCCGGGGAAACCTGGCTGGCTTCGGCCACCGATGGGCTCAGCAGGTGATGCACCGTGGCCAGGAGCACCGGCGGCGGGCGGAGGTCGGCAGGAGGCGGGGGAGCCTGGCCGGCCGCCGGGCGGGAGAACTCCTTCACCGCCCGCGCAGGGTCCGGCTGGCGATCCAAACCCAGCTCCAGCCGGTGCAGCCGCTTCTGGCGACGCCGACGGTAGAATTCCCCAGCCGGGCACATGTCTTTGCAAAGGGCCGGCCGCGGAGGACCCTCCGCTTCGTCTTCGTTCATGGCCGGAATCCACGCAGGGTGGTGGGCAGGGACGATCCCGAGGAGAGGCTGGCCTCGCTGCGCTTTGCCCGCCTTCCTGGAGGCTGGTTCTCGCCTTTGCGCCCGCGGGCGCCCGGTTGCAAATGGCCCCGAGCCCCGGGCTAATTTTTTTTCTCCCCCAGTTAGTGCCTTTTTTGGAGTGGATCGCGCTTCTTCCACGCTGATCCCTGCAGGAGGATCGATTTTCCCACGCCGGGGGCGCCCCAGTCTGGTTGCGCCAGTCCGTTCGGGGGGATCCTAAGGCCGTAGGATCGCGCGCATTTGGCCAATATATGTTTTTTAAAAATTCTTTTAAAAAGGGAATTTTACCCAGGAGTGAAAGGAGAAGGAGCAGCAACAGCAGCAGGTCCCTTTCCACGTGCAAGCCGGGGATGATGGGGTTTGTAGTCCCGGGAAGGCGTGGTTTGAGCGGACCTTCGCGGCGACTTTGGATAAAGGGAGGGGGGAGGCGGGAAGAGGCGCAAAAGGGAAATGCTTTGCGACAGTGCAGGGTGGCGTCTTAAAGCTGGGGCGGGGGAACCTTGGAGATAATAATAATAATAATAATAACAGATTAACTGAGTTGAAAGGGAGCTTGGAGGTCATCTAGTCCAACCCCCCTCCTGGAAGCAGGAGACCCATCCCGAAAATGCATTGCAAAAATCCCCTTGTTGCAATTTCCTATTTAGCAAAAGCTAAGAGTAATAACTCTTAGTTGGCTTCCCCAAGCGGGCAAAAAAAAATTGCAAAAAGGATCTTCGAAGCGAGTGTCGCGATCTGCGCTTGTATATCTCTATTAGTTTTATAGCTCTACGTGGCTCTCCCGGCTTTGGCCAATCGCCTGCTCCTTCCCAGAAAGGGGCGGGTCTTCAGAGTGAATGCTTTGCAAAGGGGAAGGGGGATTTGTGGTCAAACCCGACTTCGGGTTCTCGTTGGAAACAGGCTGGTTGATTCTGGAGATGTTTAAAAATATATCCAGATCTGCTTTTTTAAGATCCTCTTTCTGAGTTTTTTTTTATTTTTATTTTAATTTTTTTAAATTAATATAATTTAAGTTCTTCTATATGTTGTATGGGTGTCGTAAGTAAAAAACCACAATACTTTAAATCTGATTGATTGTGCTTTTGGTTATCTGAGTTGTTTTAGAGCAGGGGTCTCCAAACTTGGCAACTTTAAAACTTGTGGACTTCAACTCCCAGAATTCCTCAGCCAGCAAATGGGATACATTAATGAGATACATTAAATTTAAATGGAAGAGGAAAGATAAATATGTACTAAGAAAATGATGATAAACATTGAATATGATGACAAAAGAAAATTGTACCCAAATGTCACGCTGATTGATTAATGATGGTTTGTTTAAAAACAAAAATTATTCTAAAAAAAAAATATGAAAGGGTGCTTGGCAATTCCTATTGTGGCTTAATGGCTTTTTCCTGATTTGGATCTTGAGAATCTACCATTCTGCCTTCCTTTCAAAATATCCTGTCTTGAATGGATCACCAAATCTGCATTTCTACACTTGATTTTAGCCAAAAGGCTGAGAATCTTGCATTTCTAAAAGCTGGCTTCCTCCATATCTGCTGGGGCTATTAAGGAAAGGGGGGGTTGCTTTCTGCCTCTAAAAAAACATGTTTCTCATTTCTCATTTAGGGAAATATAATATTCTGCCTTTTTAAAATATTTCTCAAAATATTTCACTCTTCTAGGAGAGGGGCTGACTTTTTACACCACCGAGCAACATTCCCACCAAGGATGCACTCCGATGTTTTGACGGCAGAAAAAACTTCCTAATATAGGTAGCCCTTGACTTAAGACCACAATGGAATCCGAAAGTTCTGTGGCTAAGCGAGACAGTTGCTAAGTGAGTTTGGCTCCATTTTACGACCTTCCTTGCCACAGTTGTTAAGTGAATCACCGCCGTTGTTAAATTAGTCACACGGTGCTTATGTGAATCTGGCTTCCCCATTGACTTTGCTTGTCGGGAGGGAATCACATAACCCGGGATGCTGCAGTCGTCATAAATACGAGTCAAATTTTGGTCACATGACTGGGAATGCTGCAACGGTTCAGTGTGAAAAATAGTCATAAGTTACTTTTTTCAGTGCCATCACTAAATGAATGGTTGTTAAGCTGGACTATCTGTGTATTTTATTTATGTCCATGCGTATGTTTTTGCTTTTACAGGCCAAAAATGGTGGTTCTCTTAATTCAATATTCAGAGGGATACAATCAAGATCAAGGGAGGTCCTAATACCACTCTATAAAGCCTTAGTAAGGCCACACCTAGAGTCCTGCATCCACTTTTGGTTACCACGCTATAAAAAAAGATGTGGAGACTCTAGAAAGAGTGCAGAGAAGAGCAACCAGGATGATGAGGGGACCGGAGGCTAAAACATATGATGAACGGTTGCAGGAACTGGGCCTGGCTAGTCTAGGGAAGAGAAGGACCAGGGGAGACAGGAGAGCATCTTCCAAAATTTGAGGGGCTGCCCCAGAGAGGAGGAAGGGGGTCAAGCTATTTTCCAAAGCGAAAGAAAGAAAGAAAGAAAGAAGAAAGAAAGAAAGAAAGAAAGAAAGAAAGAGGAAGGAAGGAAAGAAAGGTAGAAGGGAGGGAGGGAAGGAAAGAAAGAAGGAAAGAAAGAAAGAAATCTGAGTGAACCATGGATGGACAGAAGACATGGCTAGTCTAGTGAAGAGAAGGACCAAGGGAGACAGGATAGCAGTGTTTCAATATTTGAGGGGCTGCCCCAGAGAGGAGGAAGGGGGTCCAGCTATTTTCCAAAGCACCGGAAGGCCAGACAAGGAATAAAATGCATGGAAACTGACCAAGGAGAGATTCAACCTGGAAATAAGGAGGAATTTTCTGACAGTGAGAACAATCAGCCAATGGAACAGAAGTTGCCTTCAGAAGTTGTGGGAGCTTCATCCCTGGAGGCTTTCCAGAAGAGGCTGGACTGCCATCGGTCAGAAATGGTGTTGGGTCTCCTGCTTGGGAAGGGGGTTGGACTAGATGACCCACAAGGTCCCTTCCAACTCTGTTAATCTGTAATCCGTAAATATATCAAACTGACTTTCCAGCTGATTAGGACAATGTTGGTCCCAGCCTGGAAGATCTATTTTTGCCTTTGTAGATTTGTCTGCTCTGTGTTGCTTGGACACCTCGATATTCATATTTAGAGTTGCAAGTGAACAACAAAAAAATCCAGAAAAAGCGCAAATGTTAAAAGGTTAATAAACAGTTTATTTGCATTTTACAAGATCGGTTTCCATACATTCTCAATTAATTTGCCATTAAAGTGCTGAAAAATAGTTTTCTTTGTATTTGTTTTGTTTGATAATCAAGGTACAGTTAATGACAAAAAGATAACAATTTGCATCTGTCGGGAGGAATTAATGACAAAAAATATTTGTTCCTCAGCTAAGAGAACTTCTTTTCTTTTACAAAAATAAGAAATATACAGAAACAATTAAGATGACGTCGTAAGGCTTTTTGGCTTGAATTGTTTTGCAACAGCAATGCGTCTTTTGAACAACAAATAAATTACATGTTGGATATTTGGTTGAAGTTGGTTTAGTCGTTTTATCAAACAAAATGAAAAGGTTGTTTTTGTTGGCAAAAAAGCCCAAATTTGACACATCTTAGTTGCTTTCTGTATACGTGCAGTGTTTCTTTTTCATATATCCATAATTTTAAAGGATAAAACATTTTAGCCCCCTGCAGGTAAAAGCAAAAATAATAATAATAATAAACCCCTAGTAGTTAAAATTAACACATTTTCATGGATCAACACTGAAGATATTCAGTGAATTGAAATATATATATAATATATCTCAATCAAAGCTTGCTTAGGTAAACATAAAGCTCTTGTAGCATATAAAGCACAGTCCTAGGCCTGAACAGAAGAGAAAATTGTCCAAAATACTCCCCAAAAAAACTGTACATCTATCTTCCTTACGGCATAGCTTTAAATATCACATAATCCAGGCTTTTTCAAAATCCATCACGTCTCCGTCTGCCAAAAAAAAAAAAAAAATCGCCCATGTTGCTCATCTGTATGTCTGGAATAATTTTTTTATATTGACTGAATTCCAACTGATACAGCCGACAGACCCCGGCCTCTGTTTGTTCAAAGGCATTTGCTGCTTTTTTTTTTTTTTTTAAAAAGGTTTTTTTAAAAAAAATTCTTTATAAAAAAAAAGTTTTTCTTTTTTTAAAAAAGTTTTTTGGTTTTAAAGAAAAGTTTTTCTTTTTTAAAAAAAGTTTTCCTTTTTTTAAAAAAGTTTTTCGGTTTTAAAGAAGTTTTTCTTTTTTAAAAAAAGTTTTCCTTTTTTAAAAAGAAGTTTTTCTTTTTTAAAGAAAAGTTTTTTTAAAAAGTTTTTCTTTTTTAAAAAAAAGTTTGTATTTTTTAAAAAAAAGTTTCTTTTCTTGCTGCAATTCAACCAAGAACGTTTGGGAAGAATTTAGGGGTATTCACATCCCCCAGCAAAGGATCAGAAATTTCTGGTAGGCTCCACGATGCCGCATGTCGTGGCCACACCGTGAAAATCGTGCCACACCGTGAAAAAATTTATATATATATAAATTGCTCGCCATCAGCCCTTAGATGACCACGGACGCCGCTGTATCAGTTTGGAATTGATTCAGATCTCCGGAAGATAGAAATCTTTCAGTGGAACCTGCCCTATTCACAGTAAAACAGGAATCACTTTGCTCTCAAAACCCGACTTATTTCACGGTAGATCACCTGTTTCATTGCAAAGTATTTGAAGCCGGAGGGGTGGAAAAATATATATATACAGAGGGAGAAGGAGAGGGCGATGGGGCGAGAGGGACATTATGTACAGGAAAAGGGGCATTATGTACACAAGCGTTTTCCTGGACTACTCTTTCTTTTTCGCCACCGTCAACTCGACCACCGGCACTCGGAAGCCAGCTTTCGTCCCGCTTTCGTTACTGGAGGATGAGGAGAGCCGAGATTTTTTGGACTCCAAAGAAGCTCCGCTGCCTTGGATTCTCCCTGCCTCGTCGTCGCTTCCCGTGACCTCGTAAGACCCTTTGCTCTTCGACCCTATCCCCCCAAAAGTGCCAAATTTGAGCTTGGCGTGCTTGCCTTTGTCTCCTTCGTGCTCCAGCGTGCCGGTCGGGGTGGAGTGCGAGGAGTGCTCGTCGCTAAAGGAGGACGACCGGTGCCGAGACTTTTTGGTCTTAAAGAAGGAGAACTTTCCTTTGGGCGAGACGGCGGCTTCCCCTACTTCCACCTCACCTTCTAAGGACCCTAAACTTGCTTTGAGCTCTCCTTCAACTCCAGCCCCAGATGTTGAGACTTCTGGAGAGCCGACACTTCCCTTGGCTTTGGCTTTGGAGAAGGCAAACTTGGGCATTTTGATCTTGGATTTCTTCAATTTCAGGTCAGGTTCTTCCAGCTCAACTGTCCCTGCCTCAACGTGGAGACTCGCTTGTGGCGGTTGAGGAAACTCGACATCGACCCCGACTTCCCTTCCAACCGGTTCCTGCCCCGCCACCACAAATTTTGGCATTTTCATTTTAGGGAAGGAGACCTTCCCAGCTGAGCTTTCTAAATGGCCTTGTGGAGCATCCATCCCAAGAGAAAGACCTTTGATACCTAATTTGGGACCACCGAGATCACCCCCTATCTTTGGTCCAGAAAAGTGAAGGTCCCCTGTTCCTTTGGTGCCCACATGTACCTCTGGCATTTTGGCCTTGGGCCCTTTCAGATTGACCTCAAAATCTGACCCAGAAACCTTTGGACCTGAGACATTGAGGGAAGGTCCTCTTAGACAGATATCCGGGGTCCCAGTGTCCAAGTCCAGGCCAGAAATCTTCATGCCTGGCATTTCCAGTCCAACGTGTTGACCTTTCAAGTCGGTAGCAAACTGGGCATCTCCTTTCAAACTTGGTCCTTTCATGTTCAAATCAAAGTCAGCTTCAGGTCCTTTGATCTGTGGTCCTGAAATGCTGCCTCCCTCACCAGCGATAGCAAACTGAGGAAGTTTCATGCAGGGAAGTTTGACTCCGCCTCCAGAGCCTTCCACCTTGGGGGATGTCATGCTACCAGAAATGCCAAGATCTCCTTTGATCTTTGGTCCTTTCAGATTGATGTCCATCTCGGGTCCAGAGATGCCTCCTTCCGAAGTCATCTTCACTTTCGGCCCTCTCATGTCAACATCTGGAGCTGATAGATTGACGTCTAGACCTGAAGGCTTTTGCATCTGAAACTTCCCTTCAAATCCACCGACACCAACATCTGGCATGCCGACATCTATTTTTGGAGCTTTAATCTCACCAGAAAAACCCAGGTCTTTTCCTATCTTTGGTCCTTTCAGGCTCACGTCCATTTCAGGAATGCTTGCCTCTCCTCCAATTCGTGGGGGAGAGACATCAAGGTGTGCAGAGGGCAACTGTCCTTGAAGGTCTACATCTGGCCCTTCCAGGTTCACTCCTGGCTTCCCAAATTTTGGCAAGCTGAACTTGGGGAATTTCAGCTTCCCTCCTGGGCCTTGGATTTCAGCACTTGGGAGATCAACATCACCTTTCAGCTTTGGTCCTTTCAAATGAACATCGACACCAGGGGCAGAGATGGAAGGTGCGGAAACATCCACAGAAGGTACGTTGACTGATGGACCTTTCAGGTTGATGTCAGGAATGGTAAGGTTGGCTTCAGCGCTGGGGATTCTCAGATCTCCTTCCAATTTGGGACCAGCCAGGCCAACGCTTTCACCTGAGAGCTTGAACTCGGGAGCCTTAAGACCAATATCGGGACCTCCAATGTTAACACTTCCACTGGGAACGGAAGCTTCAAAACTGGGTGATTTCAGACTGGGTGACGTCACATCTATTCCTGGCATCTTGACTTCTCCTTCCACCTTCGGCATTGAAGCATCGGCCTTGAACATGGGTGATTTGATATCAAACTCAACATCAGGAAATGAGAGTTTCCCAAAGACTGGTTTCTTTCCCTTGGGGGATTTGATGTTGGCATCTGCTTTCAGGGATGCTTCTGGGACCGAGAGGCTTCCTTCCAAATCTGGTGATTTCAAATTGGCGTCCATTTCTCCACTCACATCAAAACCACCCTTCTTGCCTTTGACTTTAGGTCCGCTCATGTGGATTTTGGGCATTTTGAATTTGCTTTTTTTCCCTTTGGCAGAAATGGCAACATCTGGCGACTCAACATTCAGCTCAGCTTCTGGAAGAGACACATCCAAAGTGGGAGATTTCACATCAGCCTTGGGGCTCTTTGCTCCAAAGCCAAATTTCGGCATCTTAAATTTGGGGAGTTTAACATTGCCCTCTGGCCCTTCAACGTTCACATCTGGACATTCCAAGTCAATCTCTGGACCTTTAGCTTCAATTCCTGGTCCTTGGATGGCCATTCCTGGAACGGAGACATCCACATCACCCTTCATCTTGTGACCTTTCAGATTTAAGTCAATTTCTGGCATGGAGATCTGAGGTGTTTTGAAATGCATTTCTGGCATCTTCACCCCAGGGCCCTTCAATTGTCCTTCTCGCCCTTTGATGTCCAAAGTTGGAGCTTCAATTTTCAAATCAAAACCTTTCAACTCTCCTTCAGGCAGGTTGACGTCCAACTGAGGTCCTTCTCCTTTGAACTCAGGGACACCAAATTTAGGGAGCTTCATCTTGGGTAATTTTACTTTTCCATCTGGACCGTGGATATCAACAGTGGGAGCTGCGATGTCAATTTCAGGACCTTTCAAATCTCCTGCGAGTTTCGGTCCAGAGACATCACCTTTCAGACCAAACTGTACATCAGGCATGGAGATTTGGGGTTTTTTAATCTGCATTTCAGGCATCTTAATTTTGGGGCCTTTCCAACTTCCTTCAGGACCTCCAACATCGACGTCTAGTTTGGGACCTCTGATGTCAATGTCGGGGCCCTTCAGATCACCTTCCAAGCTCGGTACGGAGACATCCACGTCTCCTTTCACTCTGGGACCTTTGAGGTTCAAGTCAAAGTCTGGCATGGAGATTTTGGGAGCTTTGATGTTCATTTCAGGCATCTTAAACTTGGGCCCTTTGAGTTTTCCCTCAGGACATTGCAATTCCACATCAGGTACAGAGACATCCAGTTTAGGGCCCTTGATATCAAAATCCGGGCCCTTCAAATCAGTATCTATTTTGGGAGCAGATACATCTAGATCAACATCTCCTTTCAGTTTAGGGCCTCTGAGGTTGAAGTCCACGTCTGGCATGCTGATTTTGGGGGCTTTGATATTAAATTCAGGCATCTGAAATTTAGGGCCTTTCATTTTGCCTTCAGGTCCTTTAATATCAATGTCAGGAGGATCTATCTGAGGAACATTAATGTCTATTTCTGGACCTTTCAGGTCACCTTCCATCTTTGGCAATGAAACATCCACATCTCCTTTCACTTTTGGACCTTTCAGGTTCAAATCAAAGTCTGGCATGGAGATTTTGGGAGCTTTGATGTTCATTTCAGGCATTTTAAATTTGGGTCCTTTCCACTTCCCTTCAGGTCCTTCAAGATCAACATCTGGAACATCAACGTCTAGCTTGGGCCCTTTGATGTCAATGTCGGGGCCCTTCAGATCACCTTCCAAGCTCGGTACTGAGACATCCACGTCTCCTTTCACTCTGGGACCTTTGAGGTTCAAGTCAAAGTCTGGCATGGAGATTTTGGGAGCTTTGATGTGCATTTCGGGCATCTTAAACTTGGGACTTTTCCACTTCCCTTCCGGGACCTTCAATTTCTACATCTGGCGCATCAAAGTCCAATTTGGGACCCTTGATATCCACATCTGGACCTTCTAGCTTCGGAACAGAAACATCCACATCTCCCTTCATCTTTGGACCTTTGAGGTTCAGATCAATATCGGGCATTGAGATCTTTGGGGTCTTGAAGTGCATTTCGGGCATCTTAAATTTGGGCCCTTTCACTTTTCCCTCTGGGCCTTCAATGTTCAAACATGGAGCTTCAAGTTCAACTTTTGGGACAGAAACATCAAGATCTCCTTTAGGGAGGCTTACATCCACATCTGGACCTTCCCCTTTGAAGCTGGGCATTCCGAATTTGGGCATTTTGAATTTTGGCATTTTCATTTTTCCTTCTGGTCCATGAAGTTCAACATCAGGTGCATCAATGTCCACTTTGGGACCTTTGATATCCACATCTGGCCCTTTTAGGCCACCTTCTAGCTTAGGAACAGACACATCCACATCTCCTTTCATCTTTGGACCTTTGAGGTTCAGATCAATATCGGGCATTGATATCTTTGGGGTCTTGAAGTGCATCTCAGGCATCTTAAATTTGGCCCTTTCACTTTTCCTTCTGGCCCTTCAATGTCCATACATGGTGCTTCCAGTTCAACTTTGGGGACAGAAATATCAAGGTCTGCTTTTGGGAGGCTTACATCCACATCTGGGCCTTCCCTTTGAAGCTGGGCATGCCAAACTTGGGCATCTTGAACTTGGGCATTTTGAGTTTTCCTTCTGGACCATGTAGGTCAACATCTGGAGCATCGATATCTAGCTTTGGACCTTTGATGTCTATTTCTGGGCCTTTCAAATCACCCTCTGGAACTGAGACATTCAGGTCTCCTTTCAGTTTGGGAGCTTTTAGGTTTAAGTCCACATCTGGCATTGACATTTTAGGAGTCTTAAAATGCATCTCTGGCATTTTAAATTTGGGTCCTTTCCACTTCCCTTCTGGGCCTTCAAGATCAACATCTGGAACATCAACGTCTAGTTTGGGCCCTTTGATGTCAATGTCGGGGCCCTTCAGATCACCTTCCAAGCTCGGAACTGAAACATCCACATCTCCTTTCACTCTGGGACCTTTGAGGTTCAAGTCAAAGTCTGGCATGGAGATTTTGGGAGCTTTGATGTGCATTTCGGGCATCTTAAACTTGGGACTTTTCCACTTTCCTTCAGGACCTTCAATTTCTACATCTGGCGCATCAATGTCCAATTTGGGACCCTTGATATCCACATCTGGACCTTCAAGCTTTGGAACAGAAACATCCACATCTCCCTTCATCTTTGGACCTTTGAGGTTCAGATCAATATCGGGCATTGAGATCTTTGGGGTCTTGAAGTGCATTTCAGGCATCTTAAATTTGGGCCCTTTCACTTTTCCTTCTGGGCCTTCAATGTCCAAGCTTGGTGCTTCAAGTTCAACTTTAGGAAGAGAAACATCAAGATCTCCTTTAGGGAGGCTTACATCCACATCTGGGCCTTCCCCTTTGAAGCCGGTCATGCCAAACTTGGGCATCTTGAATTTTGGCATTTTCATTTTTCCTTCTGGTCCATGTAGATCAACATCTGGGAGATCAACGTCCAGCTTTGGACCTTTGATATCCACATCTGGTCCTCTAAGTTCTCCTTGCAGTCCTGGAGCTGAGACATCCAAATCTCCCTTGAGTTTAGGTCCTTTCAGGTTGAAATCCACATCTGGCATTGAAATTTTCGGTGCCTTGATGTTCATGTCCGGCATCTTAAATTTGGGTCCTTTCCACTTTCCTTCTGGGGCCTCCAGTTCAATATCAGGAACATCCACATCAAGTTTAGGTGCTTTGATATCAACCTCTGGACCCTTCAGATCGCCTTCCAATGTTGGTAAGGTCACATCTGCATCTCCTTTTAATTTCGGTCCTTTCAGGTTTAAGTCAAAATCTGGCATGGAAATTTTGGGAGTCTTAAAGTGCATATCAGGCATCTTAAATTTCGGCCCTTTCACTTTTCCTTCTGGGCCTTCAAGGTCAACATCTGGAAGGTCAACATCTACTTTTGGACCTTTGATGTCTATTTCCGGACCTTTCAAGTCACCTTCCAGTGTGGGAGCTTTCATATCAATATCTCCTTTGACTTTGTGGCCTTTCAAATTCAAGTCAAAATCTGGCATGGAAATTTTGGGACTCTTAAAATGCATGTCGGGCATCTTAAACCTGGGCCCTTTCAGTTTTCCTTCTGGGCCTTCAAGGTCAACATCTGGAAAGTCAACGTCTACTTTTGGACCTTTGATATCAACATCAGGGCCCTTCAAGTCACCCTCCAATTTTGGCACAGAGACATCGATGTCTCCCTTCAATTTTGGGCCTTTCAGATTCAGGTCTATGTCCGGCATTGAAATTTTTGGAGTTTTGATTTGCATTTCTGGCATCTTAATCCTCGGACCTTTCAGCTTCCCCTCTGGCCCTTCTAAGTCAGGAGTTTCAATGTCCACTTTGGGGCCCGACAGGTCAAGATCAGCTTTGGGAAGGGTTACATCCACATCGGGAGCTTCTGCTTTGATGCCTGGGATTCCAAATTTAGGCATTTTAAACTTAGGCATTTTGAGTTTGCCTTCAGGGCCATGAAGATCAACTTCTGGTGCACCAACCTCCATCTTGGGGCCTTTGATATCTATTTCAGGGGCTTTCAAATCTCCTTCCAAGCTTGGTGCAGAAACATTCAGGTCCCCTTTTAATTTAGACCCTTTCAAATTTAATTCCACATCAGGCATAAAGGCCTTAGGGGAGGAAATATTCAATGACGGCATTTTAAATTTAGAACCCTTTGCTTTTCCTTGGATATCCACATCTGGACTCTGAACACCCACTTTTGGTCCTGAGATATCAACATCCGGTTTCTTAACCTTCACATCAACTTCAGGTGTATGAAGTTTGGGGCCAGAAAAATTGAACCTGGGAAGTTTAAATCTTGATTTCTTTGGTTTTGCTTCAATGTCTACTTTTGGTGTCTCCAGTTCGACTTCAGGTCCTTTCAATGCAATGTCTGGTCCTTTGATGTCACCTCCTACATCTCCTTTGAGTTTTGGGCCTTTCAAATTCAAATCAATATCTGGCATTGAGATTTTGGGGACGTTAAAATGCATTTCCGGCATCTTCATTTTGGGGCCTTTCAGTTTTCCTTCCGGGTGTTCGATTTCCAGATCAGGTGTTTCAATATCTAGTTTGGGACCAGATATATCCACTTCTCCCTTGGGTATGGTCACATCCACTGAAGGACCTTCTCCTTTAAATCCAGGCATCCCAAACTTGGGCATTTTAAATTTGGGCAGCTTGATTTTACCCTCTGGACCATGCAAGTCAACATCGGGCATGTCAATGTCCACTTTGGGGCCTTGAATGTCCACATCAGGGCCTTTCAGGTCACCTTCCAACTTTGGCACACAAACATCCACATCTCCTTTCACTTTGGGTCCTTTCAGGTTCAAATCGAAGTCTGGCATGGAGATTTTGGGGGCTTTGATGTTCATTTCAGGCATCTTAAATTTGGGTCCTTTCCACTTCCCTTCAGGTCCTTCAAGATCAACATCTGGAACGTCAACGTCTAGCTTGGGCCCTTTGATGTCCATGTCGGGGCCCTTCAGATCACCTTCCAAGCTCGGTACTGAGACATCCACGTCTCCTTTCACTCTGGGACCTTTGAGGTTCAAGTCAAAGTCTGGCATGGAGATTTTGGGAGCTTTGATGTGCATTTCGGGCATCTTAAACTTGGGACTTTTCCACTTCCCTTCAGGACCTTCAATTTCTACATCTGGCGCATCAATGTCCAATTTGGGACCCTGGATATCCACATCTGGGCCTTTCAGATCTCCTTCCAGTTTCGGAACAGAAACATCCACATCACCCTTCAGTTTTGGACCTTTGAGGTTCAGGTCAAAATCTGGCATGGAAATCGTTGGAGTTTTGATGTGCATTTCGGGCATCTTAAATTTAGGACCTTTTATCTTTCCCTCTGGTGCTTCCATACTTATATCAGGGGCATTAATATCTAATTGGGGTGCTTTAATATCGAGTTCTGGCGCCTTCACATCCCCCTCTAGCTTCGGCATAGAAACATCCACATCTCCCTTCATTTTAGGACCTTTCAAATTCAAGTCAAAATCTGGCATGGAAATTTTGGGAGCTTTGATGTTCATTTCAGGCATCTTAAATTTGGGCCCTTTCCACTTCCCTTCTGGTCCTTCTATATCAACATCAGGGACATCAATACCTAGTTTGGGACCTTTGATGTCCACACTTGGGCCTTTCAAATCCCCCTCCACCGTTGGTATAGATGCATCGGCTTCTACTTTAGGTTTCCTCCAGTTCAAATCTATATCAGGCATTGAGATTTTGGGAACATTAAAATGCATTTCAGGCATCTTAAACTTAGGACCTTTAAGTTTTCCTTCAGGCCCTTCAAGGTCAACTTCAGGAAGATCAACACCAACTTTGGGCCCTTTGATGTCCACATCAGGGCCTTTCAGGTCACCTTCCAACTTTGGCACAGAAACATCCACATCTCCTTTCACTTTTGGACCTTTCAGGTTCAAATCGAAGTCTGGCATGGAGATTTTGGGAGCTTTGATGTTCATTTCAGGCATTTTAAATTTGGGTCCTTTCCACTTCCCTTCTGGGCCTTCAAGATCAACATCTGGAACGTCAACGTTTAGTTTGGGCCCTTTGATGTCAATGTCAGGGCCCTTCAGATCACCTTCCAAGCTCGGAACTGAGACATCCACATCTCCTTTCACTCTGGGACCTTTGAGGTTCAAGTCAAAGTCTGGCATGGAGATTTTGGGAGCTTTGATGTGCATTTCGGGCATCTTAAACTTGGGACTTTTCCACTTTCCTTCAGGACCTTCAATTTCTACATCTGGTGCATCAATATCCAATTTGGGACCCTTGATATCCACATCTGGACCTTCTAGCTTTGGAACAGAAACATCCACATCTCCCTTCATCTTTGGACCTTTGAGGTTCAGATCAATATCGGCATTGAGATCTTTGGGGTCTTGAAGTGCATTTCGGGCATCTTAAACTTGGGCCCTTTCACTTTTCCTTCTGGCCCTTCAATGTCCAAACTTGGTCCTTCAAGTTCAACCTTTGGCCCAGAAACATCAAGATCTCCTTTGGGGAGGCTTACGTCCACATCTGGGCCTTCTCCTTTGAAGCCAGGCATGCCAAACTTGGGCATCTTGAACTTAGGCATTTTCAATTTTCCTTCTGGTCCATGAAGTTCAACATCAGGTGCATCAATGTCCACTTTGGGGCCTTTGATATCCACATCTGGCCCTTTTAGGCCACCTTCTAGCTTAGGAACAGACACATCCACATCTCCTTTCAGTTTTGGACCCTTGAGGTTCAGATCAATGTCAGGCATTGAGATCTTTGGGGTCTTGAAGTGCATTTCGGGCATCTTAAACTTGGGCCCTTTCACTTTTCCTTCTGGCCCTTCAATGTCCAAACTTGGTCCTTCAAGTTCAACCTTGGGACCAGAAAGATCAAGATCTCCTTTGGGGAGGCTTACGTCCACATCTGGGCCTTCTCCTTTGAAGCCAGGCATGCCAAACTTGGGCATCTTGAACTTAGGCATTTTCAACTTTCCTTCTGGTCCATGAAGTTCAAAATCAGGTGCATCAATATCCAGTTTGGGACCTTTGATATCCACATCTGGCCCTTTTAGGCCACCTTCCAGCGTAGGAACAGACACATCCACATCTCCCTTCAGCTTTGGACCTTTCAGGTTGAAATCAACATCTGGCATGGAAATCTTTGGAGCTTTGATGTGCATCTCAGGCATCTTAAATTTGGGCCCTCTCACTTTTCCTTCTGGGCCTTCAATGTCCAAACCTGGTCCTTCAAGTTCAACCTTGGGACCAGAAAGATCAAGATCTCCTTTAGGGAGGTTTACATCCACATCTGGACCTTCCCCTTTGAAGCTGGGCATTCCAAATTTGGGCATTTTGAATTTGGGCATCTTCAATTTTCCTTCTGGTCCATGAAGCTCAACATCAGGTGCATCAATGTCCATTTTGGGTCCTTTGATATCTACATCTGGGGCTTTCAAGTCAGCTTCCAGCTTTGGGACAGAAACATCAACATCTCCCTTCAGCTTTGGACCTTTGAGGTTTAAGTCTACATCTGGCATGGAGAACTTTGGAGCTTTGATGTGCATTTCAGGCATCTTAAACTTGGGACTTTTCCACTTCCCTTCAGGACCTTCAATTTCTACATCAGGTGCATCAATATCGAATTTGGGACCTTTGATATCCACATCTGGACCTTCTAGCTTTGGAACAGAAACATCCACATCTCCTTTCATCTTTGGACCTTTGAGGTTCAGATCAATATCGGGCATTGATATCTTTGGTGTCTTGAAGTGCATTTCGGGCATCTTAAATTTGGGACCTTTCACTTTTCCCTCTGGGCCCTCAATGTCCAAGCTTGGTGCTTCAAGCTCAACTTTGGGAAGAGAAACATCAAGGTCTCCTTTGGGGAGGCTTACATCCACATCTGGACCTTCTCCTTTGAAGCCTGGCATGCCAAACTTTGGCATCTTGAACTTTGGCATTTTGAATTTTCCTTCTGGTCCATGTAGGTCAACATCTGGGACATCAACATCGAGTTTTGGACCTTTGATATCAATTTCTGGACCTTTCAAATCTCTTTCCAGTTTAGGAATTGAAACATCAGCATCACCTTTGACTTTAGAACCTTTTAGGTTTAAGTCTATGTCTGGCATTGAGATTTTGGGAGCCTTTGGAGCTTTGATGTGCATTTCAGGCATCTTAAACTTCGGAGTTTTCCACTTTCCTTCAGGACCTTCAATTTCAAGATCCGGTGCATCTATATCCAGTTTGGGCCCTTTGATATCCACATCTGGCCCTTTTAGGCCACCTTCCAGCTTTGGAACAGAAACATCAACATCTCCCTTCAGCTTTGGACCTTTGAGATTGAAATCAACATCTGGCATGGAGATTTTTGGAGCTTTGATGTGCATTTCAGGCATCTTAAATTTGGGCCCTTTCACTTTGCCTTCTGGGCCTTCAATATCCAAACTTGGTCCTTCAAGTTCAACTTTTGGACCAGAAAGATCGAGATCTCCTTTAGGGAGGCTTACATCCACATCTGGACCTTCCCCCTTGAAGCTGGGCATTCCAAAATTTGGGCATTTTGAATTTGGGCATCTTCAACTTTCCTTCTGGTCCATGAAGTTCAACATCAGGTGCATCAATGTCCAGTTTGGGACTTTTGATATCCACATCTGGCCCTTTAAGGCCACCTTCAAGCTTAGGAACAGACACATCCACATCTCCCTTCAGCTTTGGACCTTTCAGGTTGAAATCAACATCTGGCATAGAGATCTTTGGAGCTTTGACGTGCATTTCAGGCATCTTAAATTTGGGCCCTTTCACTTTTCCTTCTGGGCCTTCAATGTCCAAACTTGGTCCTTCAAGTTCAACTTTTGGACCAGAAAGATCAAGATCTCCTTTAGGGAGACTTACATCCACATCTGGACCTTCCCCCTTGAAGCTGGGCATTCCAAATTTGGGCATTTGAATTTGGGCATCTTCAACTTTCCTTCTGGTCCATGAAGTTCAACATTAGGTGCATCAATATCCATTTTGGGACCTTTGATATCTATATCTGGGGCTTTCAGGTCACCTTCCAGCTTTGGGACAGTAACATCAACATCTCCCTTCAGTTTTGGACCTTTGAGGTTCAGATCAACATCTGGCATAGAGATCTTTGGAGCTTTGATGTGCATTTCAGGCATCTTAAATTTGGGCCCTTTCACTTTTCCTTCTGGACATTCTAAGTGAACGTCTGGTGCTTCCACATCCAGTTTAGGAGCCTTTATATCAATCTGAGGTCCTTCAAGATTGCCTCCAATATTTGGTACAGTTACATCCATGTGTCCTCTTGTTCCAGGTCCTTTGATGTTCAAGTCTACATCAGGCATGGAGATCTTCGGTGCTTTGATATTTAGTTTTGGCATCTTAAATTTTGAACCTTTCAGCTTTCCTTCAGGACCTTCAATATCAAGTTCTGGAGCTTCCACATCTATCTTTGGACCTGAGATGTCAATTTCTCCCTTTGGCAAGCTTACGTCTACATCAGGGCTTTCTAGTTTTGGGCTTGAAACAGTAAAAATTGGCATCTTCAATTTTGGCATTTTTAGTTTCCCCTCACTGTGGAGATCAACGTCTGGACCACTTAGCTCTACTGTAGGCCTCTTGATATCAACGCTGGGTCCCTTGAAATCTCCTTCTAATGTTGGAATAGAAACATCCATATCACCTTTCACTTTTGGACCTTTCAGATTGAAGTCAATATCTGGCATGGAGACTTTGGGTGTTTTGAAATGCATTTCAGGCATTTTAAACTTTGAACCTTTCAGTTTTCCTTCTGGGCCTTCAAGGTCCACACTTGGCATATCAATATCTATTTTTGGCCCTGAAACATCCAAATCTCCTTTGGGAAGGCTCACATTAACATCAGGACCCTCTCCTTTCAACCCAGGTGTTCCGAATTTTGGTAGCTTCATTTTAGGCATCTTCAACTTGGCTTCTGGACCTTCGAGTTCAACATCTGGGAGACCTATATCCAATTTTGGTGCAGCAAGATTGGGTCCTTTCAAATCTCCTTCTAGTTTTGGAACTGTTACATCCATTTCACCCTTCATTTTGGGGACTTTGAGATCCAGATCTACATCTGGCATGGAGATTTTGGGACCTTTAATATTCAGTTTTGGCATTTTGAATTTGGATCCTTTAATTTTTCCTTCAGGACCTTCCAGCTCTACATCAGGGACATCAACATCTAGTTTAGGACCTTCAATATCAACCTGGGGTCCTTTGAGTTCACCTTCTATTTTTGGTCCAGAAATATCTGCATTCCCTTTCCATTTTGGCCCTTTTAGATTCAAATCAACATCTGGCATTGATATCTTTGGTGCATGAATATTAAAGTCAGGCATCTTAAATTTGGATCCTTTTAGTTTTCCTTCTGGGCCTTCAATGTCCAAACTTGGTGCTGCTACGTCAACTGTTGGAACAGAAACATCAAGCTCTGCTTTGGGGAGGTCTAAATCCATATCCGGACCTTCTCCTTTGAAGCTGGGTATTCCAAACTTAGGCATTTTGAATTTTGGCATCTTCAATTTCCCTTCTGGTCCATGTAGGTCAACATCTGGTGCTTCAATATCTAATTTTGGACCTTTGATATCAATTTCTGGACCTTTTATGTCACCTTTTAATTTTGGAATAGAAACATCAATGTCTCCTGTGAGTTTGGGCCCCTTTAAATTTAAATCTGTGTCTGGCATGGAGATTTTAGGACCTTTAACATGCATTTCTGGCATTTGGACTTTGGGACCTTTAATTTTGCCTTCTGGTGCTCCAAGGTCCCATCCTGGGGCTGTAATATCTACTTTTGGACCAGAGAAGTCAAGGCTGCCCTGGGTAACACCAATGTCCACATCAGGAACTTCACCTTTCAAGCTGGGCACACCAAATTTGGGCATTTTCAATTTCGGCATTTTCAGTCCAGGGCCATGAAGGTCAACATCTGGTGCTACAATGTCTACTTTAGGAGCCTTGATGTCGACAGCTGGGCCCTTCAGTTCTCCTTCCACTCTTGGTATGGAAACGCCCATGTCCCCCTTGACTTTGGGGCCTTTCAAATTTAGGTCAATGTCCGGAATGGAGATTTGTGGAGTTTTGATATGAGGCCCTTTCAGTTGACCTGAAGGAGCTTTGAGGCCAATGTCAGGAGCAGTAATGTCCACTTTGGGGCCTTTGAGATCTATCTGTGGGCCCTTCAAGCTGCCTTCTAGTTTGGGCACAGAAACATCCACATCACCCTTTAATGCTGGCCCTTTCAGGCTCAGGTCGAAATCTGGAACTGAAATCTTTGGTGCCTCAATATCCAATCTTGGGGCTGCAATATCTACTTTAGGACCTGAGATGTCAAGGCTGCCCTGGGGAAGACTGATGTCCACATCAGGAACGTCAGGTTTCAAGCTGGGCACGCCAAATCTGGGCATTTTCAATTTGGGCATTTTGAGTCCAGGGCCATGAAGGTCAACATCTGGTGCTACAATGTCTACTTTTGGAGCCTTGATGTCCACAGCTGGGCCCTTCAGTTCTCCCTCCATTCTTGGTATGGAAACACCCATATCCCCCTTGACTTTGGGGCCTTTCAAATTTAGGTCAATGTCTGGAATTGGAGATTTGTGGAGTTTTGATATGAGGCCCTTTCAGTTGACCTGAAGGAGCTTTGACGCCAATGTCAGGAGCCACAATGTCCACTTTGGGGCCTTTGAGGTCTATCTGTGGGCCCTTCAAGCTGCCTTCTACTTTGGGCACAGAAACATCCACATCACCCTTTAATGCTGGCCCTTTCAGGCTCAGGTCGAAATCTGGAACCTTTGGTGCCTCAACATGTAATCCTGGCATCTTGACTTTAGGGCCTTTAATTTTGCCTTCTGGTGCTCCAAGGTCCCATCCTGGAGCTGCAATATCTACTTTCGGACCAGAGAAGTCAAGGCTGCCCTGGGTAACACCGATGTCCACATCAGGAACTTCACCTTTCAAACTGGGCACACCAAATTTGGGCATTTTCAATTTGGGCATTTTGAGCTCAGGGCCATGAAGGTCAACATCTGGTGGTGCTACAATGTCTACTTTAGGACCCTTGATGTCCACAGCTGGGCCCTTCAGTTCTCCCTCCATTCTTGGTATGGAAACACCCATGTCCCCCTTGACTTTGGGGCCTTTCAAATTTAGGTCAATGTCTGGAATGGAGATTTGTGGAGTTTTGATATGAGGCCCTTTCAGTTGACCTGAAGGAGCTTTGACGCCAATGTCAGGAGCCACAATGTCCACTTTGGGGCCTTTGAGGTCTATCTGTGGGCCCTTCAAGCTGCCTTCTACTTTGGGTACAGAAACATCCACATCACCCTTTAATGCTGGCCCTTTCAGGCTCAGGTCGAAATCTGGAACCTTTGGTGCCTCAACATGTAATCCTGGCATCTTGACTTTAGGGCCTTTAATTTTGCCTTCTGGTGCTCCAAGGTCCCATCCTGGAGCTGCAATATCTACTTTCGGACCAGAGAAGTCAAGGCTGCCCTGGGTAACACCGATGTCAACATCAGGAACTTCACCTTTCAAACTGGGCACACCAAATTTGGGCATTTTCAATTTGGGCATTTTGAGTCCAGGGCCATGAAGGTCAATGTCTGGCGCTACAATGTCTACTTTAGGACCCTTGATGTCCACAGCTGGGCCCTTCAGTTCTCCCTCCATTCTTGGTATGGAAACACCCATGTCCCCCTTGACTTTGGGGCTTTTCAAATTTAGGTCAATGTCCGGAATGGAGATTTGTGGAGTTTTGATATGAGGCCCTTTCAGTTGACCTGAAGGAGCTTTGAAGCCAATGTCAGGAGCCACAACGTCCACTTTGGGGCCTTTGAGATCTATCTGTGGGCCCTTCAAGCTGCCTTCTAGTTTGGGCACAGAAACATCCACATCACCCTTTAATGCTGGCCCTTTCAGGCTCAGTCGAAATCTGGAACTGAAATCTTTGGTGCCTCAATATCCAATCTTGGTGCTGCAATATCTACTTTAGGACCTGAGATGTCAAGGCTGCCCTGGGGAAGACTGATGTCCACATCAGGAACGTCAGGTTTCAAGCTGGGCACGCCAAATTTGGGCATTTTCAATTTGGGCATTTTAAGTCCAGGGCCATGAAGGTCAACATCTGGTGCAACAATGTCTACTTTCGGAGCCTTGATGTCCACAGTTGGGCCCTTTAGTTCTCCTTCCATTCTTGGTATGGAAACACCCATGTCCCCCTTGACTTTGGGACCTTTCAAATTTAAGTCAATGTCCGGAATGGAGATTTGTGGAGTTCTGATATGAGGCCCTTTCAGTTGACCAGAAGTACCCTTGATTCCAATGCCAGGAGCAGCAATGTCCACTTTGGGACCTTTGATGTCAATCTGCGGGCCCTTCAGGTCGCCTTCCAGTTTGGGCACAGAAACATCCACATCACCCTTTAATGATGTCCCTTTTAGGTTCAAGTCAACACCTGGCACAGCAACCGGTGTAGTTTTCACAGAGGGCATTGAGATATGTGGACCTTTGAATGGTCCACCAAGGCCAACATTGGTGCCCTCATTACTCATACTTGGGCCTTTCAAATCCCCTTCAATCTTTGGCCCTGAAAAATGTATAGCTCCTTTTCCTTTGGGACTTTTAAGATTCAAGTCAATATCTGACATAGAGATTTTGGGTGTCTGTCCACTAATCTCAATCCCTCCTTTTGGAACATTGATATCTGCTGTGGGGCCTGAAACAGAAAATTTAGGCATATCCATGTGGTGTATTTTAAATTTGTCTTCACTCTCTTCAAGTCCAATGTCTGGAGACCCAAAATCCATCTTTGATTTCACCCCACCTTTCAAATCCAGTCCTTTTACACCCATATCCAACTTTGGTTCTGGTATTCCTCTGCTCGTGACTGCAACTTTGGGGCCTTCTTGAAATCCTCCTGGACCTTTGATTGTCACAGATGGACCTGCTGCATCAAGCTGAGGAACTTCAATGTCAGCACTTGGAGATGATATTCCAAATTTGGGCATTCTCATTGCAGGGAATGTAAGATTTCCTTTGCTTTCATCACCGAGACCTGGACTTGTCATCTTGCCTTCAATGCCTGAGGTAGGGACTTTTACCCCTGCGCCTTGCAACCCTCCCAATTCCCCTTTAATTTTAGGACCTTTCATATCGAATTGCAGTCTGTCCCCTGTTTTCCCATTGATTTCAGGGCTGCTGAAGTCTGTCTGACCTCTCAAACCTATACCCTTGATGTTGGAGACTTGGATATCAGTTTTCCCCACCTTTGGCTGCCCCACAAGGGTATCGGGAACACCTGCCTCCAATTTTCGGGAAGGCAAGTCAATAGTTGGTCCAGAATATGTCACATCATAAAATTTCCCTCCTTCGTGGGAGGTTTTTCCATAGCTGGTTCTCCCAGGTGAATCCATGTGTGGGATCTTGATGACAGTTTTCCCAGGCTCTGATTCAATTCCAACTTTAGAAATCTGGGTAAGTTCATGTTTAGGAATTTTGATCTTAAACTCAGGACTGCTGATGTCAATCTCTTTGGCACCTTCGTGGCCGGTAACATCGACAGTGTAAGCTGTGACTCTTTTGGTGACTGTGATGGTCCTGCTTTGAGTTCCTTCATGCTCGACTTCTATGCCATCTTCTGATTTAAGGCGAGGTTTAATTTTCGTGGTGTAAATCCGCTGGTACTCTTCGTCATCTCCACTCTGAAAGGGAAAGGAATTGTGTCATCAAACTTTCTGCTCAAATTATTGTGCTTCTACAGGCAATCACCAATAACAATCTGTATCAAAACAACATCCTAAAATGTCTACAGTGACGAGTCTCATCATTTCACTTCAAATATTCTTGCTTAGAACATAAAATAATAGGGTTGGAAGAGATCCTATTGGTCCCATAAAATATGTTGGAAGGGAAGGTTGGAGGTCTTCTGAACAACCAGCTAAATATGAGCCAGCAGTGTGTGGCGGCTGCCAAAAAAGCCAATGCAATCGTAAATTGCATTAACAGAGGGATACAATCAAGATCAAGTGAGGTACTAATACCACTCTATAAAGCCTTAGTAAGACCACACCGAGAATACTGCATCCAGTTTTGGTCACCACACCATAAAAAAGATGTTGAGACTCTAGAAAAAGTACAGAGAAGAGCAACCAGGATGATTTTAGGGGACTGGAGGCTAAAACATGCGATGAACGGCTGCAAGAACTGGGCATGGTTATTCTAGGGAAGAGAAGGACCAGGGGAGACATAATAACATCTTCCAATATTTGAGGGGCTGCCCCAGAGAGGAGGAAGGGGGTCAAGCTATTTTCCAAAGCACCTGAAGGCCAGACAAGGAACAATGGATGGAAACTGAACAAGGAGAGATTCAACCTGGAAATAAGGAGGAATTTTCTGACAGTGAGAACAATTAACCCATGGAACAGGGGTTGCCTTCAGAAGTTGTGGGAGCTTTATCACTGGAAGCTTTCAAGAGACTCCTGCTTGGGCAGGGAGTTGGACTAGATGACCTGCAAGGCCCCTTCCAACTCTGTTAATCTGTAAACCCCTTGCTCAAGCAGGAGACCCTGTACTATTCTGGACAAATGGCTGTCCAGTCTCTACTTGAAAACTTCTAGTGATGGAGCACCCAACAACGTCTGAAGGAAGCCATTCACTGGTTAACTGTACTCACTGTCAGGAAATTCCTCCTTAGTTCTAGGTTGGTTCTCTCCTTGATGGGTTTCCATCCGTTGCTTCTTATCCTGCCTTCTGGTGCTTTGGAGAATAGGTCAACCCCCTCTTCTCTGTGACAGCCCCTCAAATATTGGAAGGCTGTCACCCCAGGCCTTCTAGAGTAGACCCATCCAATTCGTGCAAGCATTCATCATATCTTTAGCCTCCAGTCCCGTAACCATCTTTGTTACTCTTCTCTGCATTTTCTAGTTAGTTCAAATAGGCTTACTTCCTCTGGAATTGTACAATATCAGGACATCCAGCCAAGTGGGATATCTCTGACAATTGTTTGAGATTGTTTTTCTGAGTGGTTTGGATAGAAAACATGAGCGGCTTGGTGGCACAATGTTGCTCAAGACAAGAGGACAATGGCCCACTTCGACAATATGATCAGCCAAGCACTTGAATTTTTTTTTTTCATTCTCTTATTGAAAATTGGAGTCACCCCCACCAATGTATGATTGTGTGTGTGTGTGTGTGCGCGTATAATTCTATGATTCAGCAGTGGAAAAAGCAAGGTTCTACATTTAGGGAAGAAAAACAAAATGCACAGGTACCGCATATGTGGTACCTTGCTCAATAGTAGTAACTGTGAGAGGGACCTTGGAGTCCTAGTGGACAACCACTTAAATAGGAGCCAGCTGTGTGCAGCAGCTGCCAAAAAAGCCAACAGTTCTGGGCTGCATAAACAGAGGGATAGAATCAAGATCACGTGATGTGTTAATACCACTTTATAATGCCTTGGTAAGGCCACACTTGGAATACTGCATTCAGTTTTGGTCGCCACGATGTAAAAAAGATGTTGAGACTCTAGAAAGAGTGCAGAGAAGAGCAACAAAAATGATTAGGGGACTGGAGACTAAAACATATGAAGAACGGTTGCAGGAACTGGGTATGTCTAGTTTAATAAAGAGAAGGACTAGGGGAGACAAGATAGCAGTGTTCCAATATCTCAGGGGTTGCCACAAAGAAGAGAAAGTCAAACTATTCTTCAAAGCACCTGAGGGTAGAACAAGAAGCAATGGGTGGAAACTAATCAAGGAGAGAAGCAACTTAGAACTAAGGAGAAATTTCCTAACAGTGAGGACAATTAAATAGTGGAACAATTTGCCTGCAGACATTGTGAATGCTCCAAAACTGGAATTTTTTAAGAAGATGTTGGATAACCATTTGTCTGAAGTGGTGTAGGGTTTCCTGCCTGGGCAGGGGGTTGGACTAGAAGACCTCCAAGATCCCTTCCAACTCTGTTATTCTATTCTATTCTATTCTATTCTATTCTATTCTATTCTATTCTATTCCCTGAAAATATTGCTCATTTCTTACCTCTACCCACCAATGATCTTACCTTGCACCTAATCTGGAAATATATCATACCTAGATTCAAACAAACATGTGCCACTCAAATCCAGATTAGCAAAATACAAATCAGTTCAAAAATGCTTAATGGCATGAACTGATTCCCACCACAGTAAAAAAAAAACCCTGGAATCCCACAATAGATTACATTTTTAACAATTGTTAAGTCTGGGATGTTGTGTGGCAAGTGCCTGTCCGAATTTTAAATTAAAATAAATAATAAATAAAATAAAATAAAATAATAAATATAATATATTATCGGTAAAATCAAATAAATCAAGTCAAATAAAATAAAATAAAATAAAATAAAATATTGGTAAAATAAAATAAAATAATTAAATTAAATTAAAATAAATAATAAATAATAAATAATAAAATAAAATAATTAAAATAAAGAATAAATAAAATAAAATAATAAAATAAATATAATATATTACCGGTAAAATCAAATCAAGTCAAATAAAATAATATATTGGTAAAATCAAATAAAATAATTAAAATAAATAATAAATAATTAAATAAATAATTAAATTTAATTAAAATAAATAATAAAATAAAAAATAAATAAAATAAATAAAATAAATAAAATAAAAAATAATAAAATAAAATAAAATAAAATAATAAAATAAAATAAAATAAAATAAAATAAAATAAAATAAAATAAAATAAAATGGCTGGAGTTAGCCAGATATTTAGATTGGATTTGGCATTTTTATCCACCTACTGAGTCCTTCCCATGATTGTTATTATTATTTCTCTCCTATCTTCAATTCTTGGCTCCAGCTGAGGGAAACTTTTCCCTCAGGCCGGCTCTCCCTGCCCTGTTTTTTCAGCTGCTGCCTCCTTTCCCGGTTGCCTTTCCTCAGCATGGCTGCCTTTTCCCCTCCCCGGTTTTTCTCTGTATTTTGAACCCTGGGCTTTGGCTCCATTGATCCAGCCTCTTCTTCATGAGGGCTTCGGAGTTGCCAGGCAGCCATTTTGTCTTCCCGCCTCCTCCCCGAAGCCCAACTCAGCTGCTTGACTGACAGCTGCTGTGTGATCAGTAGCTGCTGTTTGATTGGCAGCTGCTGTGTGATTAGTAGCTGCTGTTTGATTGGCAGCTGCTGTGTGATTGGAAGTTGCTGTTTGATTGGCAGATGGGTCATCCTGACAAGGCCGAGGGAAAGGCGGGACCACCGGGACCTGGAGCACAAGGCAATGGACACCCTTTGTCACTATCCTTGTGCAAATTGCGGCAGCTTCTGGCGGCACAGAAGCTGCACACCACTGCATGCTCCTAAGGCCCTGCAACTGGCTTGCCCTCAGTCAGATGATTGTTTGTGCAAGAGAGCTATGAATCGATGTTTGTCAGTAACAATCACCCTAAGAGATTAACAGAATAACAGAGTTGGAAGGGACCTTGTAGGTCATCTAGTCCAACCCCCCCGCCCCGCCCCCCCCGCCCAAGCAGGAGACCTTACACCACTTCTGACAGAAGGCAGTCCAGTCTCTTGAAAGCTTGCTGATCGATCACAGTACTGATCACAGCTAAAAGGAACAATTAAATAAGGAGGAAATGTTCTTTTTTTTTGTTGTTCTCTAAGCTTCTGGGTACTTTTATAAGATTTCTAAAAAGGAAAGAAACTTCATGGGAGGGAGGGGGGAAGGAAAGGAGGGAAGGAAGGAGAAAGAAGGCAGAAAAAAGGAAAAGGGAGGGAGGGAGGGAGAAGGAAGGAGAGATGGGAGGAAGGAAGGGATAAGTTGGAGGAAAGAAGGGGAGGGAGGGGAAGGAAAGGAGAGAGGGAAGGAGAAAGAAAGAAGGCATAAAAAGGAAAAGGAAGGAAGGGAGGGAGGGAAGGAAGGGATAGGTTGGAGGAAAGGAGGGGAGGAAGAAAGAAGGCAGGAAAAGGAAAAGGAAGTAAGGGAGAGAGAAGGAAAGAAGGAGGGAGGGGAGGGAGGGATAGGTTGGAGGGAGGGAGGGAGGGGAAGGAAAGAAGAGAAGGAAGGAGAAAGAAAGAAGGCAGAAAAAAAGGAAAAAGGGAGAGAAGGAGGGAGGGAGGGAAGGAAGAGATAGGATGGAGGAAGGAAAGGAGGGGGAGGGAGGAAAAAGGAAGGAAGGAAAGGAAGGAAGAAAGGAGAGAGAGAGAGAGAAAAGAAGGGAGGGAGGGAGAAAGAAAGAGAAAGAAAGGTTTACATGGGCAAACTATGTTCCTGGCTCCTATCTCGTGCCAATCAGTGCCCCCTCCCCAAATGAGAAAGTGAGCCCCACTTCGGTCCTTTCTCAAGGGCGGGGTCTGAATCGAGGCTCACCAAACCACTGCAGTTCCTGGGACCTGAAATGGCCCCCTGTCAGCTGCAACCTTATGCTTGCTTGTGCTTGCATGAGAGGGAGGAAGGGAGGGAAACCCACCCCCCTTCATGGAGATGGTCCATCTTCGGCCTGCCTTCCCCAATTAGCTTTTTTCTCTCCCTGATGGTGAAATTGTACCACATGACTTTTTCAATTATTTGCAGGAAGTGAATCAAACTGGGTCTCTAATGCTCTCGCCAATTATACCCTGGCTGCAATAACTGAATAACAGAGTTGGAGGGGACCTTGGAGGTCTTCTAGTCCAACTCCCTACTCAAACAGGAGAACCTATACAGTTCCAGACAAATGGCTGTGCAGTCTTTTCTTAAAAGCCTCCAATGATGGAGCATCCACAACTTCTGGAGGCAACTTCTGTTCCACTGATTAATTGTTCTCATTGTCAGGAAATTTATCCTTAGTTCTAGTCACTGGTGGGATTCAGCCAGTTCGCACCTATTCGGAAGAACCGGTTGTTAACTTTCTAAGCAGTTCGGAGAACCGGTTGTTGGGAGAAATCTTATTTTATTTTTATTTCACTTTATAGGGCTAATCCTGTAAGGAATTACAACATTCTGATGTTGTTTCTAGCCTAATCTTTCTTGCCCTGCTTACAGAAACTGCCTCTCTGGTTAACCCTCATTACATTGTAACAGCTAAGGCGAAGTGCCCATCGATGTGAGTGATGTCGAGTTGGTCACGCCCACACGGTCACATGACCATCGAGCCATGCCTACCCAGATGGTCATTAGGGCAGAAAACCAGTTGTTAAATTATTTGAATCCCACCACTGGTTCTAGTTCAATCTCAAACTTGAGCACCCTTGACCTAGAATGAAGTAAGGCACTTAAGGAAAAGTGGCTTGTTGTGTTCCTTAAAGATTCCACACATACACACTTCTTCCATTCTTCTTCTTTTTCACACTTACTCACCAAAACAACTTCTGGGCTCCTTGGAGGAAACACGTCGTAGGAACCAGACTGCCCTGGCAACGGGGAGCGGTCTCCTTTCCTCTGTAGCCGCAGGCCCACTGTGTGATGACCTACATTTTTAAGGAGCTCCGAGACCTCCCCTGAGTGCACATTGTCAAAATAGATGGTGGCGCTCACAATCTGGTCACCTGCAGAACGAGAAAAGCAAGGATTCAGTTGTTAGATTAGGAAGAGCTCAAGGAGACATCAAGATAATAGAATAACAGAGTTGGAAGGGATCTTGGAGAGCTTCTAGTCCAGGGGTCTCCAATCTTGGCAATGTTAAGCCTGAAGGAGAGAAGCAATCTAAGGTAGAAGCAGGGGTGGGCTTCAAAAATTTTAGCAAAGGGTTCTCTGCCCGGTTGCTGGGTGGGTGTGGCTATGGTGGGCCTAGCCACACCCTAGTTGGCCTCCTGCACCATGGTGGGGGAAGGCATTTTTGCCCTCCCTGGGCTCCGGAGGCTTTAATTGAGCCTCCGGGAGGGTGAAAACAGCCTCCCCAGGCTCCAGAGGCCCTCTGGAGGCCAGAAATGTGCCTTCCCAAACTTCCAATAGGCCCGTTTTTTGTCCTCCCTAAGCCTCCGTGCATACCCTGCACTTACCTGCATCCAAAATGGGCCGTGTGGGGACTCAGGGGAGGCGAGGGGAGGGGTGGGCGGGGCCAATCAGGAGTGGGATTTGGGGGTTCAACGAACTGCACAGAATCTTAGCTAGAGGTTTTCCTGAACCCCTACCAACCTCCAGCAGCCCACCCCTGGGTAGAAGTAACATTTGTCCAGAATGGTATAGAGCCATGATGGTGAACCTGTGGCACACGGAGCCATATCTGTGGGCACGTGAGCGTTGCCCTAGCTCTGCTCCAGTGTGCATGTGTTCGCCAGCCAGCCAGCTGATTTTTGGGCCTTCCAGGCTCACTGGAAGTCAGGAAATGGTCTGTTCCCAGCCTCCGGAGGGCCTCTGGTGGGGTGGGGAAGGCTGTTTTCGCCCTCCCCAAGCTCCTAGAAAGCCTCTGGAGCTTGGGAGAGTGAAAAATGGGCCTTCTGGGCCCACTGGAAGTTGGGAAACGGGCCATTTCCGGCCTCAGGAGAGCCTCTGGTGGGATGGGGAAGGCTGTTTTCACCCTCCCCAGGCTCCAAGAAAGCCAAAAGCAGGGGGAGCACGGGGGTCGCGCGTGCATGCGCAGGGGGGCGGGGGTGTGAGTACATTCTGTGTGCTACCCTCCACACTCCCCCTGCTTTTGGCAGACGACGGCAAAAAGGTTAGCCATCACTGGTATAGAGTCTTGTGGAGATGGTTGGACTAGAAGACCTCCAAGATGCCTTCCAACTTTGTTATTCTGTAGTGGCCCCAAGATAGTTTCACTAACCTTCCTGTACAATTCCTGTCTTGGCGACTGGCGAGTCGTGTTGGATCTGCTTCACGAAGACGCCTTCATCCGTCTCTTTGATGGTAATACCATGAGCGCTGTCTTGCCAATCAGGGAGTAGGATCTCCCGCGTACTCTCTTCTTCCTTGTCCATCTTAGGCACAGAAACAAGAAGCTGTAAATCTCTCAAGGCTTAAAACATAAAAATAAGGGGAAATCCTATTCGAGATATATTCAAATTGTACGGTTCTGAAAACTGATCTGATGCTACCGTAGAAGTGTAATGGTTTATATGTAGAATATTTTTATTTTTTTGGTCCTATTTTCTCACCAAGGATCTCGTGTGGATGCAAGTAGAAATGAGACCTCACCCTGATGAGCTTTTGTGGTGTCGACCCTGAAGCTGACCTGACCAAAGCCATCTTGGAAGCTTCACAAAGCTTGTGAAGTTGCCACACTGGAGCTGAGGGATAGGGAGGATGGATTAGAGATAGCTGGGGTTGTGTAGTCAAAACAAGACACTTTCTTTTGGGAACCAAGGACATTCTCACACCTGGTCGGAGGAAGACGGAGTGATGTCACCAGACAACGCCGTAATTGGACTATGCGGCTGATTGTTTTGAGAAAGTGACAAACTTTTACTTTTAATTAGGTAAAAACCGCAGGAACCTTCAGAGTCGGTTTTCACCAGATCTGTGCCAATATGATCTATCCAATAAAGCTATTCTTTGAGGAATCTACCTGGCTCAGAGTTTTGCTTGCTATGCGTCTTGAAACCCTGACAATCTGGATCAACCAATCTGAATTGTCCCGCAAACTTATCCACAAAAGGCATCAATGGAAAAGCATAGAAAATTAAATCCATTAAAGTAGAAATTACAATTTGGCAGGGTGATGTATTACCCAATACTAAGAGATATTCTAATCCAGCGTTTTTTCAGCTTGGCCACTATGCTGGCCAGGGGATTCTGGGAGTTGTAGTCCACCCATCTTAAGGCGGTCATGTTGAGATATGCTGCTTAAATCTATCATCTCGACAAGCAAAGTCAACAGGGGAAAACAGATTGACTGAAGCAGAGGTGGTATTCTGCAAGCGAACTGGTAGCGGCGATCGGGGATGGGCCTGCCCACCTGCCCCGGCTCCAAGTCATGCTATTTAGGCACGTTTTCGAGGCTGGGCACATATGCGGGAGGCGTGCGAGTGAGCAAAGCCCATATGTGTAAGGCGGGGCGCATGCACCGACAGGCCACGCGCGAAGCGAGCGTGCGCACACACAGACGAACCGGTGGTAAAGGTAAGTCAAACCCACCCCTGCACTGAAGGAGCACATGATTCACTGAACAGCTGCAATGATTTGTTTAACGAACAACCGTGGCACAAAAGGTCATAAAATTGAATCACGTGGTCCTTCAGTGAATCGGTTTTCCTCCTATTGACTTGTCGAGACGATGGATTTGAGCAGCGTTTCTCAATGTGGCTGCTTTAAGAAGCCCAACTCACAACTCGCTCCTTGCTTAGCAACGGGAATTCTATTGTTCCTAATCGTGGTCATATGTCGAGGACTACCGTGTTTCCCTGAAAATAAGACCCTGTCTTATATTTTTTTGAACCCTGAAATAAGCACCTGGCCTTATTTTCAGGGAGGTCTTATTATTTTGGGGCGTGTGGAGCAAGACAGGGCTTCTCTTGCCGTCTTACCTGATTTTCCAGTTCTGTTTCCCTAACCCTAACCAGAGGAAACGACGGGAACTGGCTGCACATGTGGTTAAATATTTTCAAGGAGGGCTTATTTTTGGGCAGGGCTTATTATCAGGGAATGTCTTATTTTCGGGGAAACAGAGTAGCTCTGCTGCTGTTTCTAAAACATAGAGGGAAATATGAGTCGCCGTGCAGTCTCCCACCTTTCTAGGACTTTGCTCCAGGTAGGATCCGCCCCAGGAATTCAGTACTTCTCACTTGCTGATCCTTTTGGTAATGTTCGTTCCAACTTCACAACCTAGGAAAGAGATTAAAACTTCCGGTGAATAAAAGTGATTAAAACTTCCGGTGAATAAAATCATGCTCAATTTTTCCTGAAAATTCGAATGTCAGAATTTTACCAAGCACACAACTTGGCAGCCTGTCATGCCAGCTTTATTTAACTCTACTTTTAATATTTTAATTTTTTTTAATTTTATCATTTTACTTATTACATTTTTATGGCGCCAATACACTCCTTAAGGTGACAGCTTAATTCAGGGGTGAAATCCAGCAGGTTCTGACAGGTTCTGGAGAACCGGTAGCGGAAATTTTGAGCAGTTCGGAGAACTGGGAAATACCACCTCTCGCTGGCTCCAGAGTGGGATGGGAATGGAGATTTTGCAATATCCTTCCCCCAGGAGTGGGGAGGGCATGGGGATTTTGCAGTATCCTTCCCCTGCCACACCCACCAAGCCATGCCCACCAAGCCACACAGAACTGGTAGTAAAAAAAATTGGATTTCACCACTGTGTTAATTCCTAATTCCTTCCACGTCTTTCTTTTTTCTATTAAAAGCATAAACATTTCCCCCATTTCTGCACAAATAAGCTTTAAGTGTAGCAAGATTTCCTCATGAAATCTCCACAGACAACCTGACAGGTTTTGGGTTTTTTTTCCCCCAAGATAGGAAAAGACACAAAAGGTTTTTATAAGTGGCAGCTTTTGCAATCGGCTTGACAAAGCGTGCTGTGAGGTTCGAAAGCTTGCACACTCCTCGCTAAAACCAGTTGGCTGCACAAAAAACACTTTTAATTCCCGATGGGCCTGGTTAGCCTTCTCCCCAAGAAAATACCTCTACAGCTAATGTTTACATGTCGCAAGAGTGAATTTGTCAGCACAAATCTCTCCATTCAAAAAAAGTCTCCTATATATTCCTATCAAGCAATTATTAATCATTAATATCGGATAAGGATTCTGAAGTTTACAGGTCATAAGGAACATGAGTTTACTGTTTGCATCGATTCATAGGGTCCAAAAAGCCACATCAAATTGACATATGCTGTGTACAGAGGTGGTATTCAGACAGTTCGTACTGGTTTTGGCGAACTGGTAGCGGAGATTGTGGGTGGCTCTATGCTGTCTTATTTAGGCACAGTTTTGAGGCCGTGTGCATGCATGGAAGAGGTGTGCACGAGCAAAGCGTGTGCATGGAAGGTGCACGCGCAAAGCAAGCGGGCGCGCGGGTGGCAAAAGGGTGCACGGGGGGCAAACGGGCGCACGGGGGGCGAACCCGTAGCAACACAATGTGAAACCCACCACTAGCTGTGTAGAAAAGGAGAGATTTGTGGCTACAGGATAATTTCAGTTGACTTTATTAGAATATAGTTTCCAATACAGGTCGCCCTCGGCTTACGAACGAGAACCGAGTCCACAATTTCTGTTGCTAAGGGAGACAGTGGTTAAGTCAGTTTTGGCCCATTTTATGGCCTTTTCTTGCCACAGTTGTTAAGTGAATCAATGCAGTTTTGTTAAGTTAGTAACACGGTTGTTAAGTGAATCTGACTGTCGTTGGCTTTGCTTGTCAGAAGGTCGCAAAAGGGAATCGCGTGACTCCGGTATACTGCGATCGTCTTAAATAAGAGCCAGTTGCCAAGCATCTGAATTTTGATCACGTGATGATCAAAATGATCATCAAAATGATCACAGATGCTGCAATGGTCATAAATGTGAAAAACGGTCGTAAGTCACTCTTTTTAGCACCGTTGTAACTTTGAACAGTCATTAAACAAACTGTTGTAAGTCGAGAACTACCTATACTATTCATAAAGGTCAAAATGGATTTTTTTCCCTACCAAATTTACCACACGGGTAAATTTGTTCTCTCAAGTACAGTGTTTTTTAACCTTTTGGCAGCTTGAAGACAGGCGGACTTCAACTCCCAGAATTCCCCAGGCTGGCGGGGGAATTGTGGGAGTTGAAGTCCCCCTGGCCAAGGTTGAGAAACATTGTTCAAGACACTTAAAATCTCAAGAGAGATTGAATGAGTGTAAGTCACAAAACGTACGTGTTAAAACTAAGTTTAGTTTGCAGGGTTCGTATGTGCTGTGAATGCCCTTTTAGTTTGGTTACTTGACGATTCGATATACAACGCAAAGCCGGAAAGTGGGATAATTCAGAAAATTAATTTAAGCAGGTGGTGTGGAGGGAGGAGGCTCGGGCAGTAGTGGGATTCAACCAGTTCTATCCGGTTCGCGTGAACCGGTAGCTGCGGCTATGAGAGGCTCCGCCCACCAGCCCGGATGTCATCACGTCCCGTTTTTTGACGCTCTACACATGCGCAGAAGGTCCTGCGCAGGCATGGAGGTAGCGCGTGAGCTCACATTTGCGAACTGGTAGCAAAGGTAAGCGAATACCACTCCTGGGCTCAGGTTATTTCTCTGTTTGCTCTCACCAATCTGAAGCAAAGTGTTCCTAACCCCAAATCCTTAAATCCTTTCTTTGCAGAAAAATATGTAGCAATCAAACAATAATATTTGCTCATTTCCAGCAGAGGACTCTGGTGCCAAACCGAGAATATTTTTACCGCTTAGTTGCCGAGATCTCGTGTTTTCATTGCTGTTATTACTATAATGCCAGGATTAGATAACAGCTTTTCCTGGCTCGCTGCAAAAGTTGATAATGGCATTTGCGTTTGAAAACTCAATTCACACACAAAAGAAGTGCTTTTACACAACCCCGTTAGCCCCGGAACAAAACAAAACCCCTAATCCAGTTTGAAACTCACCAAATTCACGCTATTGTGAGAACGTGGCCCCTGGATTGTAAGTGACACGGTTAAAGCATGTTGGGCGTTAAACAGAGCTGAGTTTTAACGTGGCTTGCAAGACACCAGAAAATTTGCACGGGGAAAAATACTGAAGCTCCCTCCCCTTTGGGTCCTGGGTGATTTTCTAAATTGTTGAGCAGTCACTGTTTCTAGAGGATGAGCATCAGTGGTGAGTTGCTCCCGGTTCGGTCCGGTTCTTGCGAACCGGTAGTAAAAGCGGCAGGAGGCTCCGCCCACTTGTCCGGACGTCATAATGGACGATCTGTGCATGCGAAGAAGTGTGTGCGCGCATGCGAGCGAAGCAAATAGTAAAGGTAAGTAGAACCCAAACCTGATGAGCATGCTAGTATGCCAGTATGGTACAAATGCCCAAGGAAAGCTTGCATTTTTAAAAAAAAATTTGATTTATATGCCGCCCTTCTCCGGAGACTCAGGGCGGCTTACAGTGCGTTAAGCAATAGCCTTCACACTTTTGTATATTTATACAAAGTCAGCTTATTGCCCCCACAAACTGGGTCCTCATTTAACCTACCTTAGAAAGGATGGAAGGCTGAGTCAACCTTGAGCCTGGTAAGATTCGAACCTGCAGAAATTGCAGGCAGCTGTGTTAATTACAGGGTGCATTAAACCACTCTACTACCAAGGCTCTTTGGGCCTGCCTCTGCAGAACGGGCTGTCCAGAACAAGCAACTTCAATGAGTAAAGAATTAATGGCGGCAATTCACACGTCGTCCAAAGCTGGGGTTGGTTTGAATTAGAATTAGAATTAGAATTAGAATTAGAATAATTAGAATTAGAATTCTTTATTGGCCAAGCGTGATTAGACACACAAGGAATTTGTCTCCGGTGCATAAGCCACAATTGGCTGGAAAAGCACCAAAATGCTCAACCATCGCCATAGTTTATCTACCACAAGGTTTGGCTTCCTAACCGCCCATCTCCGTACAGGTAATCCTTATTTAGCGACTGCCTCATTTAACGCACATCTTCAGCCACAACAGTGATGAAAAAGTAATCCTGCGCCCGAAAAGATTCACGTTTATGATCTTTGCGGGTCTGCAGAGCAGCAGAAAGCCGAAGTCCGATCACGAGCATGGGGGTAAATTCACTGAGTGACTACTTGGTTTAACAACCGAGTTGTTGTTTGGCCCCAATTGTGGTCGCTAAATGAGGACAGCTTGAATGGCTGTAAGCAGAGAGAGACAAACAGGAGAAGAGGAAGAGCGATATCGCCCTTTCGCAGGCAAATATTCTTAAATATAAGTAATCCTTGACCTACGTCCAGTCGCTTAGCATCCGTACAAAGATATGATGAATTTTCCCAAGGCTACTTCAAAATTCTGACAGCCACCTTCTTCCTGTGATAATGTGATCACATTTTGGATTTATGCCATTTATGGCTGTTTGTAGCATCCCGCAGCCACATGGCTGTGATTTAAGACGGTTTTGCCCAAAACTGGCTTTGACTTTCCAGCAAAAAAAAAAAACCCACAGAGGACAACAGATTCGTTTCATGACTGCAACGTTCACTGCATTCGCTTAAGGACGACTGAATGGTCGCTTCTTATCCAAGAAGCTGAAGAAGCTTCTTGGATGAGAAGTGAAACCTCTTCAAAGAAAAACCAGAAAGTCCACTTGCCTCTTGAAAAGAAGCATCTTTGGGACAACCATGACCTGGATGATACTTGTAAGGTGGAAGCAAGTTGATAACTCCACCAAATACTCTAACTACCGTCTTTCCCTGAAAATAAGACCCTGCCTTATATTTTTTTGAACCCTGAAATAAGCGCTTGGCCTTATTGCCATGCACTCAAAAGCCTGATTGGGCTTATTATCAGGGGATGCCTTATTTTGGGGAAAACAGGGTAACATTTTGGGGAATTTTAGTACAGGGTTAGTACAGGTTTAGTACGGGAAGAGCCTGGTGGTGCAGCAGACTAATAGCCTGTTATTAACATTCAGCTGCCTGCAATTACTGCAAGTTCGAATCTCTCCAAGGCTCAAGGTTGACTCAGCCTTCCATCCTTTCTAAGGTAGGTAAATTGAGGACCCAGTTTGTGGGGGCAATAAGCTGACTTTGTATTAATATACAAAAGTATGAAGGCTATTGCTTAACGCATTGTAAGCCGCCCTGAGTCTCCGGAGAAGGGCGGCATATAAGTCAAATTAAAAATAAAAAAAAATCTTGTCTACTTTTAAGACTTGTGGAC